GTTAAAGTCTTTACTACTGCCCATTATCAGTATATCAGGTTTCTTGTTATTACCGAGGTTATTACTAACCTTAACATTAACTGAGGAGGCAGTTTGATTATTTTGTTTGTCGTTTTTTGGCTGTTTGTCGTTCGCTGCCTTACGTGGACTTCTGTTGCGTTTCGTTTTTGCCTTTGGAATTGCGCCGGTTTTCCTTTCCAAGCTTTCCTTCATACTTGGCAAATGCCTATTTTTCTTGCCACCCGCTAGACTCATTTGCTTCAGCTTTCCCTTCAACTCGTCCACACTCTCTCTGTATCTTTTTTTTTTTTTTTTTTTTTTTGAAACAACTTTATTAACAATTCGAAATATAACAATTTTTGAATATTTTTTTTTGCATCTCAAATCAGTGCTTAAATAGCTCTGGCCTCGAGATTTCAATAACTTATATTAACAGTGTTATGTTGTCTAAGTGGTGATAGTTGATACTAACGTATAATATACTTTTGATTTTTTGATTTAACATACATTTTTTTTATAGCTTTTTTTTTTAATAAATATTAAGGTAACTTTTACATTTTCTAACAAAGAGTGGATAAGAATTAGCAAACCTTATGTCATCTCCCAATTTATTAAAACATTTGGAGGCAAGTTGGACAGGATTATTTAAACCTATGTTAGTTCTGCTCTGTGTCAGATATAAACTTGACTGCGACCTTGTATCATGATTATGAATTATGCTTATGGATTGAAAATTTGTATTTGATTTTTGTAGGTTATTAAGTATTTTATATACAAGTTTGCACTGCTCAAGTTCCAATATTTTTTCTAATTTAGGTACATTCAATTCTTGATATAAATCATTCGTAGGTGTAAGATACTCATAATTAAATAAAATTTTTAGGAATTTATTTTGCATAATTTGCATTTCACTGAAGCTGGTTTTCCCACAGGTTCTCAACACATCACTCGTGTAAAACTCTTTTTCTTTTCTGGCTTTCATTCTTTATTAGATCTTCAAGTCGCTTCATTTGTCCTCTATATTCACTAATTTCCTCATCCCACGCAGAAGTTAGTGTTTGCTTGTCCAGCATATTTATGGACAAATCCGGTAAAAAGTAAAAAGAATAAATCACCTCTTCATGACCACCCTTCAATGTCTGTGACTAAAAGTCAACACAGAATACGAAATTGTCTTGATACAAGACTTTATTTATATTTAGAACATTTGAAGATTCTGAGTAAATTCTAAAAACAGCTTTTTGAACGTACCTACTCCTATAAACATGAATATTATTGCCTATAAAGTCTGTTCGAAGTTCAAACAATTTTCCCCATATTCATTGCTACAAGCTACAAGGTCATTGCCGCTTATAATGCGGCGATCATTATTTTGGTCTTTCTGTTAATTATCGTGCATGTGACCACAATAGTCGGAGAGTCGATAACTGCTCCTGATGATGTCAATCGTTAAATATACACTACTTACTGGTTCGTTGCCAAAGTTTGTTTTTGAAAGTATATACCTGTGAAATAAAAATATCAGACAGTTTATGTAATAAAAAAACCGTTCAATAATATATCCAATGTGTCAATGACAAAATGTATGAATAAAATAAAGTTTGTGTCTTTTTCTTGATAGAGGTTTCTGTCAATAACTCCAAGAGCAAACTTTATGTAAAATATTTTGTTGAAAACCTCAATTTTCAGTGCAACAACCTGCATTTTCCATGTTTAATATGAACTTTTTCCCTTATCTTCAAAAGTTAAGTTGGTGCAAAATGCACGTGCCTACTTATACCACTTATGTATTTGCCCCGTTATTTAGTATTCACATTATAAATCAATGTGTCAGTTACCCATTGATAAATACATATATGTACGTGAATCTAACATTGTTATTTTAAAGCTATAATTATTGAAAACTAGTTTCAATAATATTGATCATGTTTAGTTTGATATCATAATTACTTCTGTGCAGTGTGTATGTAAATGCAAGTGCTAAAATACGAATTTGTAGTTCAATTAGATTATATTGTGTAAAATTGAGGCTCGTGCTGTGGGATTATAGCATAACAAACACTTTTAATGAACGGGAAACTATCAGGTAATCAGGAATCCGTATGATGTAGGGTCACGTTCTAGATCTAGTTTTTTTTTTGAATGAAATAATTGCCTAATTTACAATAAGTCTTGTCACTTGTCACATTGATTATTTATTTTACAAGTATTTTCCAGTCCAAAATCCATACATTTCTTCCCACAAACGAGTCCGAGTCGACATTGAAATATCTTAGTTACACAAATGTTAGACTGAAAATGCTAATTTTAAACATAATCTATATTTAAAAATTTTCGTTTATACTTTGCGAATCTTGCAGGAAGTCATTCTCGAGTGTTTTACGTAGGCTAATTTTCTGATTTTATATATGTGTTTAATCGTAAGTTAGTATGCATGAGTTTGTTTTCGCATTGAGCAATAGGTACATAAAATAATTTTTCAAATCTGCAATGCATATAGATTGAGGATTAGGTATTAATGTTCTCATAAAAGCACCATCCTCATAAATATATTACCAAGCAGTATTTTTTATCATGACTTATAAAATATGCTCTTATCAAATTTTAAATGTGATTTTGCCAAGTATAGGGTTTTCAATCGTAACTTGAAATAAGTGTTTAATCAATACGATAATTTACTTATTAAATTGAATACGTATGATTTTTGTTTTTAGTGTCCAACTAGTTTTAATGAAGTGCAGAATGTAGAAAGTAGGTAGGGTATATTTAGATTTTAAATGGAGGTTGGTTTCGATATTTCTGCAAACTGCAAACTTTTCTATTTGAAGGTTACACCTTCAAAAGTCAATTACCGGCTTATAAGTGTTGTTTTTGTTTTGCTTTACCTAGGGCTTTAAGTGTCATAATTATTAAAAACTGTTTCTTGTTTTGAGTTGTTATGTAAATAAATATAGATTTTCCTGAAGATATTATTGAGCTGTGTGAAAGTGAATTATATTTAATATTTTTTTCAGTCTGCTTGAATTCCCTTTGTGTCATTCATCGAATATGACTAACCAAAAAAATTATCGTAAATAATCAAGTAGGCTCCATTTACTTATTCACATAATACTAACCTGGGTACTAACCTATTTAGATTAAATTAAATTTGTATAAATGAAGTCCCCTACCACTGCAACCTTGTCAGATTTATTGTGGTCTCATGGAAATCTCTCCTTGGCAATTTTTTGCCAGAAGATTGTCAACCAGGATCGCTCAGCATAATGCAGCCCTTTTCCACTAGTGCTTATTTTGTGTCCTCGCCCAGAGTGAATGTGACTACCCTGTTTCTTAGGCTAGGCCAAACAATGCGTTCATTATTGATGTTGGAACGTTATTGAACGCTTCCTCTATGTCTTGAAACCTGCTTAACGCCACATCTTCCTCATCAATCTATACTTCCAATATTGTTGGCAACTATTTTTGCTTGTTAATTTTCAAACTTCCATCCTAATTCCACCTAAAAAATACTGATAATCATCAACCAAAGGTAATATATTCTCCTGGGAAATGTTTTCCTTTTCTTCATTCAGTGAAACCGTATTTTGAATACAAAATTGCTCCGCTAAATATAAGGTTCAAAAGGAAAAAAAAAAAATCATTATAATATTGTACAGGATTGAGATTTACAATAATTATCTTCTCGGTGGTTCATGTGAATATCCCACGAACAAAAACTATGAGAATGAGCTCGCTTCCTAATATAAACAATGCCCAGAGGTTTGATTTATTATTTTTACATTTAAATGAGATTCTTTCAAACATTGATACAGGACTTTGACTATTAAAATTTGCCAGAAAAAATAACCAAAACAGTCCTTACTCAGTTTTTTCAGTGCAACATTTGTCACACTTTGAAACTTAGATACTAAGTTTTTTCAAACACTCCTTATAGGGTTGAAACTTGGGAATTTCATTGAACCATTCGATTTTTTCTTTTGCACTCATTTATTAGGCACCCTGTAAACTCAGGTTGTGATCCTTTTTTATTTTGAATAGAGCCTCTCTAGGAGCATGGATTTCTAAAATGTCATTATATGGAGTATCCTTCGAAAGTTAAAGGCTTTTATTGAAGTTGTTTTTTTTTACTCATCATTTATCATACACCCTATAGATTCTATAAAGAATTTATTGGGGCTATTTGCATCCTGAATCATAGTACATTTATATATTGTAGCTGAAAATATTCCTATAATTCTAAGAATAAAGCAGTATCTTCGCTTTCATAGCTTTTTTAATGTCTCAACCATTTACATTATTTTTAGATCATAAAATTTCTTAGGCTTTTAATACCCATAACACAATCGTCACTCTCATGATGGACTGGCACAGTTTATTTTCGGATTCGAAAACAAATAAACCTCCCCCTTACTTCCAAAGTTATTTTCAATAGATGATTTATTATAATGAACTGTCCAGCATTTTGAAAAACTGGAATTTTCATGCTTTTCCGTTTAATTAAAATCGTATCAAATAATAATGTAATTGCTTTCTGTGGTTACCTTATCTCGCCATTAGGTGACGAGTTGATTGCCGGCATCTAGGTATTGTATAGTCAGCGGTTTTTAGTTATTATTTTCCTGAGCTGATTGTTCATTATGAATTTTCGCGTAGTCTTAAATTAGTTGTCGATTGCCTTGTGTGTTTTGTAAAAGTTGTAAAATACAATTGTATGAATTCCAAAATAGTGCTTGTGGCTTATCGAATTCTTATAAGAAAACATCTACATCCTTTGTAGAATGTATCAATCTATTTTGTTATAACCAGTGTAAAATCAACACAAATAAATTAAACACAAGGCCTATACAATTTTTAAATATTGTCCGAGGTTGTTTTGTCTATTTTTAGTTTCTAAATGCATTCTATTATTCACAAAATATATTATAATGTTTTAATTATTCGTGAGCTGCACAATTTTTTTGAAAAAAATGTGAGTTATTGTATTTTTGCTTTTGTTACAGAGTTGTGCAGTAGTGAATCCCTTCCTGAGGTAGAGATCATCAGTCTTCTAGAGGAACAAATTCCTCGGTACAAGCTACGGGCTGATACTCTTACTAAATTCGGAGGTAAGTCTTTATTAATTTCTTTACTCAATAGTATTAATTTTCCTTGTCCTTTTTGAATAACGTAAATTTATTTTAACCACCAAATGATGCTTCATACACATCAAATCACTCAGATAAAAAAAAACATAAGTAGCTGGCTATTGATTATTGATTGATTGATTATTGATGAGTGATATTATGTTCCGAATTGTTTGAAGCAACAAACCTGTAGCCTGCACATTCCTAACTTGGTTATCTCTAGAGAAAATCAAGTTATAGGAAACACTTTTATCAGTCTTTTGTTATCAGAATTATATAGAAGTCATAAAATAATATTTTTTTTATGGGTACCCACAACCAGAGAAACGTGTCCCTTTCAAAAGAAACCTGCTTTTCTCCAAACTTGCGTTGCGTTTCAGTTATCAATCCAAGCTATTAAGTTGGTTCTGTGAATTTAAGATTTATTTTTAATCTTTATTTTGTGGTTAACCAGTGATTTTGTCATTTTTTTTTTCGCTGAATCTATCGGAAAATGTTTGTTCCAAACTTTTGGAAGTACGTATATTGAGTTGATGTTCAAAGCCTCATAATCTTATTGCCTATTGGTAAGACATTTTACCTAATAATTAATGCAATCATTTGCAACCAATTGATTATAATTTTTTATATTTATTGATTGATTTACTTCCATTATCATGCAACAACAAATGTGGAAGTAGAATTGCTCTCATCCAGCCTGTCGCCTGTCTGGTATAAGCATCAAAGAGGAAAAACTCCAAGTGTATTCATGAAATCCACAAGGTTACAAAGGAAATTACAATAATTGTGAACAATAAAGATAAGATAATGCAGAAATAGACCTTCTGAAGATAAAATCAAGTTTTGCAAGGAAACAAACCTCTACTAAAAGAAGAAAATAGTTTTAACATTAACATTTTGGAAATATTTTCCTTTGAATAAAGAATGAAGGCTTTCACGGCCGGTCAAATCTAGCAAAAAAGTTTTTTCCGGGCTATCATGCCGTGGTCCATTAGTATTTCTACCTAACGTTTCGTCTACTGCTGCGGTAGACATCTTCAGAGGCGGTGTGGTAGAGGACGAAGTGTTCTCTTCCGTGTTTCTCCGATGACTGAATTCGACGTTGAGGGAACTGCGTTATTTATATCCAGGGTTGTGGGCGTGGCTTGAATTACGGTATTTTCCTTGTCTCGTTCTCGGAAAGGAAGGGTCTTTGTTTTTCGGAGAACTGGCAACCAGCTTTTATTGAGGTTCATGCCCTCTTCTTTTCTGTTGAAGTTGTTGTGGTGTTTCTGTATCTCTATGGCTTCTCTGTGGAGCCTGGTGTAGAAAGGTTTGGTTCTATCCAATGTTTGAGTCTGGTCGAAACGTATGACATGGTTTGTTTGTGTAAGCACGTGTTCGGCGATTGCTGATCTATCTATTTGTCCTTGCTGACAGTTTCTTTTGTGCTCTTTGACCCTGGTGTTGATAGAGCGTTTGGTTGTTCCTACATAGACAGATCCACAAGAGCAGGGAATTCTATAGACGCCAGCCGATTCAAGAGGTGCCCTAGGATCCTTGGCCGATCTTAGACTTTGCTGAATTGTTCTTGTGGGCTTGTAGATAGGCTTAACGTTGTGTCTTTCTAGCGTTCGTCCTATGCGATCTGTGACATTTTTGATATAGGGAAGAAAGGCTCTCCCTGCCACCTGTGCTGGTTCCTTGTTAGTTGTGCGCTGCTGCTTCGGTCTTATGGCTCTATTTATCTCCTGCTTGGAGTACCCATTTCCTTCAAGTGCAGATTTTAGGTGTTGCATCTCGTCCTGTAGGTATCTGGGTTCACAAATCCGGATTGCTCTGTCAGATAGAGTTTTAATGACTCCTCTCTTTTGCCTAGGATGGTGATTAGATTCCTTGTTGAGGTATCTGTCCGTATGTGTCGGCTTCCTGTACACTCTGTGTCCCAGTTTACCTGAGGGTAATCTTTCTAAGAGGACGTCGAGGAATGCAATTTTGTTATCCTTCTCAACTTCCATCGTAAACTGTATCCTGGGTTCTATCGAGTTTAGATGATTAAGGAAGTTTTCGAGCTCTGCCTCTCCATGGTTCCAAACAACAAATGTGTCATCTACATAGCGAAACCAACAAGTAGGTTTCTTTGTAGCCGTTCGTAGTGCCATTTGTTCGAAGTGTTCCATGTAAAAGTTGGCGATAACCGGGCTGAGTGGACTTCCCATTGCGACTCCATCTGTCTTCTCAAAGAATTCATTTTGCCATTGTAAGTACGTAGTCGTCAGACAGTGGTGAAATAAGTTGTTGATTTCTTCCGGAAAAGCCTGATTTACTGGTACCTTAGTAAACAATGAGACGACATCAAAACTAACCAGCATGTCGTTTGGTAATAGAGTGATATCACTGATCTTTTTGATGAAATGAGTTGAGTCCTTGACATAGGAGCTGGATTGGCCAATCCGTGGTTGAAGGAGGGTGGTGAGGTATTTGGCTATGCTGTATGTGGGCGAATCTATTGCACTTACAATGGGCCTGAGTGGGTTGCCTGTTTTGTGAATCTTAGGAAGCCCATATATTCTAGGTGGTAAGGCCTCAGATTTAATCAGTTTCCTTATGTTTTCCGGCTCCAACGGTAGTGCTCGGATGAGTTGATTGGTTTTTCGCAATATAGAAGCAGTGGGATTACGTTTCAGCTTTCTGTAGGTGGAGGGGTCTAGAAGTTCGGAGATTTTCGATTCATAGTCAGTCACGTTCATGATTACCGTTGCGTTTCCTTTATCCGCAGGCAGGACTAGTATGTTCTCGTCTGTATTCAGGCTGCGAATAGCTTTCCTTTCCTCGTATGTCAGGTTGCACTTTGGAGGTTTCGCAAGTCGTAGAATCCTAGAGGTTTCATTGCGTATTTCCTCCGCAGTGGTTTGAGGTAATGTGCGTATGCTGGCTTCCACATTTGCTATGATGTCTTCGTATGGCAGGTCTTTCGGTGTTATCGCAAAATTGCCTCCTTTTCTCAGAACACTGGTTTCCGAATCAGTCAGAACTCGTTGGGTCAGGTTGACAACTGTGCGATCATTGCCTGTGGGTTAGTGCCACACCAGGGTCAAAGAGCACAAAAGAAACTGTCAGCAAGGACAAATAGATAGATCAGCAATCGCCGAACACGTGCTTACACAAACAAACAATGTCATTTGTTTCGACCAGACTCAAACATTGGATAGAACCAAACCTTTCTACACTAGGCTCCACAGAGAAGCCATAGAGATACAGAAACACCACAACAACTTCAACAGAAAAGAAGAGGGCATGAACCTCAATAAAAGCTGGTTGCCAGTTCTCCGAAAAACATAGACCTTCCTTTCCGAGAACAAGACAAGGAAAATACCGTAATTCAAGCCACGCCCACAACCCTGGATATAAATAACGCAGTTCCCTCAACGTCGAATTCAGTCATCGGAGAAACACGGAAGAGAACACTTCGTCCTCTACCACACCGCCTCTGAAGATGTCTACCGCAGCAGTAGACGAAACGTTAGGTAGAAATACTAATGAACCACGGCATTATAGCCCGGAAAAAACTTTTTTGCTATATTTTCCTTTGTTTTCAAAAATAGTCAATATTGCATGCACTGGGGCTAGAGGAAATAGAAGATTATAGATCCCAAATAGTTATTGTTGAAGCAAGAGAGCGTTGGCTATAGATTTCTAATAATTTGGAAAAGTTTACATTGTCATTTTGATTGAAAACAGTAGGAAGGAAGTTAAAGTTTGCAACATATGCCTATTCAATTTACTCTATATCTCTTATTTACTGAGTGAGCTGAATATATTCAAAGCAAATTTTGGGATGATGTTATGGCCCTCCACTGCGACTCATGACTATTTTTCCAATGAAGTCCAGGATAGTCGTTGGAGAGATGTTGTTCAGGTCTTCCAGAGTCATTCGGAAACAAGAATAATCCTCAAAATCGCAAATCAGCTTTGAAGTAAATGAACGAATCTTAGATCATAGTTCCAAAAAGCCCTATAGCCAGTATTTTTGCTTGAGCCCAATTCCCCATGATTTGCTACAGATCCTGGGGCAGATCCATAGTGACTAGCTAGCTTTCTGTTTCATTTTATGCCAGATAGAAGCTCTAGGTTAGCCTTTCATCCAGAGTAATTCCTAGATATTTGACTAATATAACTGAGAATAATTAATAAGAATTCCTACTCCTAGGGCAGGTTTATTCACTTTGTGATAAACTGTCAGGCATGCAATCTGATACATAAAAACGCAATTTCTAATCCTATTGGTCGGCCAGTTATTCGCCAAACAAGAATTATAGAACAGTAAATTTATCTTGCAGATAGTTACCAGTAAGTTTATCTGAAAATGAATAAACCGGGCCCAGTTTAATTTTTTTTGAAGTATATTCTTATTTGGATGGCCAAATAAATATGTAACTGTATCAAGTTTTTCGCTAAGATTTCCAATGTCTTGATGTATTCAACATAAAACTATTTCCTGCACCACGTGAACCGTAAAATCTGCGACATTAATAAAAAATTAATTTTTGTAAACTAATTTTGCGGTCAGTATCGGCAAATTCAAGGCTTTTAAATCCCGCAATTACTCAACGCAGGTAAAATGTATAGGATTTTTAGTGTGTACTTAACTTGTGACGATGTCTATTCGATTTTAGTACTAGAGTGCGATTAGATTTTCACATGACGTGATAAATGGATGGTAAATGTGATACTTTTGAAATAAATTTGAACAGAACCATATTTGTGGTTTGGGCGTGTATTAGTTTCAGTTGAATTTGCAATGTCATGAATAAATATTTTATTATGTTTGAGGAAAGGGGTATGGAAATTAGAATTCCGCCCAAAATATGATTTTTTTGAAGCACCTGATAATTTTTACTTTAGTGAGTGCAGGTTTCTGTATTATCGCCACTTGTTTATGCTCTCGGTTTTCATTGTTTTACTGGAAATAAATAAAGGCCTGGATGTCTTGTCCACTTTTGAAAAATTATAAAATAAAGTTTTCAATTTATTACAGTGTGTTTTGTCTTTTAAACATTATAAACGCAAGCCTTGGAAAGAGGGCCAAAGCATGCAAAAAATTGGCATACATACCTTGATATTTTCTGTTACATTTCATAATAGCAGGTTCACAATGAGGCTGCAACAAACTTACCTTCAATTTTTGTGCTGGGACAATAAACAGAAAACAGACCAAAATAATAAGTAATTTTTTGGAATTTAGTTTCACAAGTGTGCGTTCGCCCAATCGAAACTTAACGTAACCTAATGAAAAGCAAAATAATCTGGACATGACCAGGACTATACAAACTCAATTATATGAGTTATTAACAGTTGGTTTGGAGCTTCGATTAAACACTTGTTTTTCTGAAGAAAATCTTTCTTTGGTTTTGTAATTCACTCATCAGACTGTCAAGAAGTTTTTGATTTTGCATCTTTTGTCCACTCAAGTCAAATCGAGTCTTACTTTTTTCTGTTATAAGCTTTGTTCCAACACAGCAGGAAACCGTGTATTGTTCCATCATAATTCTGCGCAAAACCAAAAATTTGTGCTTAGAATCCGAATTTCGTATACGGAGTAGTTTCGAAACGGTTTTTGGGACTGTTTTTGACGTGTTAGAACAACAGACCTATAGTACTAGTGTTATAACGCCAACGTTTCCTTTTATTGAAAATTCCTAAATTAAGTTAGAAAATTATTATCAAAAATCAAGCTGTATACTAAAATACTAAATTTCAAAACACTGATGTGGAAAATTAAATATTGTTTTTCAGGATGTCCACTTTTCCAGATTATAAGTACATATATTATAAGTACATGTTTTTAATTCGTAAATTCACATATTTTTTTTTCCAGGTTACACAAATCAGGATTGGTTCATACCATCACCAGCGCTGCAAATAGACGAAGCAGACCTGAAATTATCTCCGGATCAAATCCGAGAAACGCTAAACTATTTCCGTAAGTACCTACCTATTAAAACTGGAGTATATGCTAGCTTTTCAATCGATTTCATTCGTCTTGTAAAATACTTGCAGCTTTTTATTTGATTATTTTGTTGAATGCTCTTTTATTTACTGATAGTAGTTGAGCTATATTGTGATTTTATTTGCCGTTACCATTAAATGATCATCTCAGTCGAAACGATCCATTGACTGAGTCAGTTTTCTAATCTTAATCGTTTATCATTGAGTTTGTCATTAGATTTGCAGTACCTATCCGATAATAACATTGCTATTTACTATTCATTATTACATACTTATATCTTTTATGTATTTTCGAAAGACTTTTTCTTCAAAAATTGATTCCGGTCCCATCTGTTACCTGTTTTTGCTCAGAGTAGTGAATAAATGAGAGGGAGTGCACAAAAATATGTGGATGTTAAAACACATGTAAATTATACGTAGTGAGAAATGGTGAAGAAATTAATTTTTAAAGAACAAGGCATGCTGAAACTGAATTAATTGAAACTTCAACTGGGAAAATTTCACCTCCACCAGGGTTGGCAAAAGCCCAGGTTTTTGAAATTTTATATTGGGTTTTTATGTACACAAAATTGTATATTTGTTTCAACAATTTTGCACCTGAGAAGCTTCAAAATTGAATTTATCGAACATTGAGAATTTTCCAAAAATGACCCTGAGACAGTTTTTGCCTCACAGCTCTGTTAATTTTCATCCGATTTAAATTCAATTGAGCTATAATTAAAGCTAATTGAATTCTCTACAAACCTATTAATCAAGATTTCAATTTGGTTGCAACAGTTATGCACCTGAGAAGCTTCAAAATTGAAATTATTGAACATTGAAAATTTTCCAAAAATGACACTGAAACAGTTTTTGCTTCACAGCTTCGTTAATTTTCATCTGATTTCAATATATTCAAGCTCTAATTAAAGTCAATTATATCCTCTACAAACCTGTCAATTGAGATTTTAATTTGGTTTCAACAGTTTTGCAACTGAGAAGCTTCCAAAATTATTGAACATTGAAAATTTTTCCAAAAATGACACTGAGCCAGTCTCACAGCTCCGTTAATTTTTATCCGTTTTCAATGTAATTAAGTTCCTATTAAAGTAGATTGAACTCTCTACAAGCCTGTTAATTAAGATTTCAATTTAGTTTGAACAGTTTTGCACCTGAGTACCTTGAAAATTGAATTTATTGAACATTGAATTTTTTCCAAAAATTACACTGAGACCATTTTGGCATCACAGCTCCATTAATTTTTATCCGATTTCAATGTAATCAAGCTCTAATTGAAGCCAATTAAATTCTCTACAAACCTGTTAGTTAGGATTTTTATTTGGTTTCACAGTTTTACACCTGAGAAGCTTCAAAATTGAAATTATCGAACATTGAAAAATTTCCAAAAATGACACTGAGACAGTTTTTGTCTCACAGCTCCGTTAATTATAATCCGATTTCAATTTAATTAGGCTCCTATTAAATTCAAGGAAATCCTCTACAAACCTGTTAATTAAGATTTTTATTTGGTTTCAACAGTTTTGCACCTGAGAACCTTCAAAATTGAATTTATCGAACATTGAATTTTTCCCAAAAATGACATTGAGACAATTTTTGCATCACAGCTCCATTAATTTTCATCCGATTTCAATGTAATTCAGCTCTAATTAGAGCCAATTAAATTCTCTACAAACCTATTAATTAGGATTTTGATTTGGTTTCAACAGTTTTACACCTGTACAGTTTTTGAATAATCATACAGTTTTGTATATTTTCGTATGGTTCTCCATTCGTAGGTCGATCGAGTGAACGCCACTGGTATTTTCCTGTTTCTGACTATTCCTTCAACCTTTCCCTGTTAGTATGAATTCAATCCTATGTACAGTTTTTGAATAATAATACAATTTCCTATGTAGAGTTTTTGAATAATCATACAGTTTTTTATATTTTCATATGGTTCTCCATTCGTAGGTCGATCGAGTGTACGCCACTGGTAGTTTCCTGTTTCTGACTATTCCCTCAACCTTTCCATGTTAGTATGAATTAAATCCTATGTACAGTTTTTGAATAATCATACAGTTTTGTATATTTTTGTATGATTCTCCATATTGAATTTATTGAACATTGAATTTTTTTCCAAAAATGACACTGAGTCAATTTTTGCGTCACAGCTCTGTTAATTTTAATCCGATTTTAATGTAATTAAGTTCTAAATAAAGCCAATTCAATTCTTCACAAACCAGTCGAATAAGATTTCAATTTGGTTTCAACAGTTTTGCACCTGAAAAGCTTCAAAATTGAAATTATTGAACATGAAAAGTTTTCAAAAATAACACTGAGACAGTTTTTGCTTCACAGCTCCATTATTTTTCATCCAATTTCAGTGTAATCAAGCTCTAATCAAAGCCAATTAAATTCTTCACAAACTTATTAATCAAAATTGAATTTATCGAACATTGAAAATTTTCCAAGATTTTGATGGGCTTCAACAGTTTCACACCTGAGTAGCTTCAAAATTGAAACTATTGAACATTGAAAAGTTTCTAAAAATGACACTGAGACAGTTTTTGTCTCACAGCTCCGTTAATTTTTAGCCGATTTCAACTCAATTATTCTCTAATCAAATCCAATAAGATTTTCTACAAACCTGTTAATTAATATTTAAATTTAGTTTCAACCCTTTTGCTGCTGAGAAGCTTAAAAATTGAAATGATCGAACATTGAAAATATTTGCACTTTTTTTTTTTCAGTTCTATGTAGTAACCGTGTGAGCCAAATGACAAAAACCTACGATGACATAGAAGCAGTTACTCGGCTTCTGGAAGAGGTAAACTACCTATTTATATAATATGCTCCGAATATGTTAAAAACGACTTATACCTAAATTTGTTAAATCAGTATTCTCTCATAGTTTTAATATATAATTTCTTATTTCTTTTTTGTTAGAAAGAAAAAGACTTGGAACTGACTGCAAGGATCGGAAAAGAACTGTTACAGCACAATAATAAACTAGAAAATACGGTAGCCTCATTGGAAACCGACTTAAAAGCCGCGCACGAGAAAATCACACAGCTCAGCCATGAGGTACATAAGAAGACTGAACTTATCCAAATCCTTACCAACGACATGGACGAGTCCATGTTTGAAACCGGATCCTCCGGACGGATCAACTTGGAGCTTATGAATAAAAGAATCGGTAAGTATAATGTATTTGTATGCGGCTCATAACCGCATTGTTTGAATAATTGATAGAGTCTGGATAACTTTATAACTAATTAAACTTAATGACAATGGGACAAACAGTTCTAGAAAACTTATTACTTATTGGACTTCATATTCTGATATGAATTACTAAGGGCAAGATGCAATATAATATAAATGAGAAAATCCTTGCGCGGAAATGTTCATATAACTCCTTTATTCCCACATTCACTGAACTTTATGTCTCATAACTTCCATCAATATTCTTCGAAGAAATAAATATTATAATGGCCTCCAACATGTTAGCTGACATTTTAAGATAAATAACAAGAAGTGCATTCCACATACACGAAAAAGTTTTATTTTTGGCAGCATTTCCAAAACTGTTAGGTTCTATTTAAATATTTGACATGCAATTAGTGCCTGTTTGTTATTCCATTGACAACTTGAGCTAAAAATATAGGTGAATGCATTCAGGTTAAATCTAAAGCATTTCCTGAAAACTGAAATGGATTTGCTATTGTTCATACAGATCTTGTCCTGCAATTCGCATACCTAAGTGAATAATCCTTAAAAAAAAAATAGGAAAGTCAGGTGTCTATAAGTAATAACTGAACTGTAAGTGTTGTAAACTAATACGATTTCGCAGAACCTTGACCTCCATCTGTACTTTGAATTGATGAGTTCGGCTTCAAACACTATTTTTATCTCAGATTGCCTAATAGCCTATTTATTTATATCGGAATAAAGCCAGGTTAGGAAACTGAGCGCATTATCACTGATAAGGTCGTCTAATTAAAATAACTTTCATCAGTGGTAGCCGAATAGTAGACAACTATTATTACATAAGTATTGATCACATGGAAGAAATAATTTTAGAACCCATAGTTTTGTTCACAGGTAAAAATGTTAGAAGCAGTGCTAAATTTATAAATCCTAAGTCATCAAAATAACCAAAAATTAACACCGGCACATTATGGTTGACAGCTTGGGTGATAGATCATTAGGAAAAAAATACATAAATAAATTATTGGCACGTGATCGTGTTATTTTTATTGGTTATTGTTTACTCAATATGTTTTCTTTTTAATTAAGCATCTCTACAAGATGAAAACAAAGCGCTAAAAACGGAATATTGTCATTTAGCGGCCTGCGCTGACGATATTGAAGCTCAAGAACAAAGGCTGTTGAAAGATTTGACTGGACAATTAAGTAAGTAAATGATTCCCGAATTCATAAAACCCTATTTATAAGGTTTGACAGCTATTTTCAACAAAAAAAACTATTCATTTCAGCTTGTGCAAATTCAAGCATGGGTTATCTGGAGGATGAGCTAGATAGGACAAAAGAAGAAAATCGGATGCAACACGAGCAAATATTGTCATTGCAGGCGCAACTACAAGATACCGAAGATAAACTTAGAAAAGTAAGTTGATATCTATTATCACTATGAATTTTTTAAATCACTGACCCTATTTTGTAGCTATTAACTGATAACGATGAAATGGCCGGCCTACTTCAAATTACTAAAGAAAACCAAGGCAGTTTGGCAGTCGAACTTTCAGAATTCAAAGCTAGATATTACGAAGTAGAAGCTCTACTGCGCGATGCACAAGAACAAATTAGGAAACTCAGGAAAAAGCAAATGCCCGGTGCTAGAATAAGCATGTTTTCATCGTTGGGGGCCACTGGAATAGCTCCATTTGATAGTTTGCAGAACGAACTGGAAATGTCCATGCATTCACACCTAAGTTTGGATTCTGGAATATCTAATTCCACTGATACAGCATTGTAAGTTTATATTAGCAATTGAATTAATTAATAAATTAAATATGTGTTGTTTTGTTAAGGCCTCAATACAAAAAAGTCTTTGAAACCGTTCGCTGTGCTTCTCAAAATTCTCTCGGCAGTGCGGAAAGTTTGGGTAGCCTACATTCCTCGATGGGAGGTTACGTCAGTAGTTCTAGTATGCCTGGAGGGACTGGTCCCCGTATGAGTGTAATGTCACAGGGCGGCCACAGTAGCTATTCTGGACACAGCGGATATGGGGCACATAGAAGACCTTCTTCATCAATTTACAGTAGCAGTTCCTTAGGATATCCCAGCTTAGACTCAGCGGGACATTCAGATAATGATTCTATGCCTACTACAGATTCAGAGGATGGATATCCGTAAGTATATTCCAATATAATCAATATTTCCCTCTAGTTTTGTCTTGTATCTTTTTTTGGGGTTTCGTTTATTGGAAAATTTTTAATTTTTGAAGTGGAGGACCTCAAAAGGGCATTCCAGGCGTTCCCGGTGCCACCGAACTGGAAGCAGCCCTCCAAAGACTAACTCCTGGCGCTGTCTTGGCTCGTAGGGCCAACCTGCAAACAATGCCTAATTATGGCGGTTACGAAGGCGATTCTTTTCTTCCGTTCGGTTGTCGCACTCCTGATAGTCTGATGTCAACGGGCTCTGGAAACTACTACACTGGAGGTTGGAAATTGCCAGAAAAATTACAAATCGTCAAGCCTATGGAAGGATCGCAAACATTGCATCATTGGTCTCAACTCGCACAGCCTACTTTTGGAGGATTGTTGGAGGAAAGACCTGGAGTTAAAATAAGGTCGGTAATTTAAGATAAATTAGATAACAAAATAAGATATTTGTTGAAAATTTTCAGAGGTGGCAAAGAATTAGAAGAGATGGGACTAGAATCTTACGGCCTAAGCGACTTAGAAGAAGACGAGGAATACACAAATCCGGGCAAACTTTTCGACTCCTCCCTACATACGTTCACATATACTAACAGCACAGTAATGCATCCGGACGATGGAACTTTCGTTTCGCCCAGCACCAGAGGTAGCCGAGTGGTCTCAGAGTGTACCAGCATACAAAATTCGCCTCCTCAAACACCGATGGGATTGAGCAGGCGAAATTCCTGCAGTACGTTTTCAACAACTTTGGGGTTAGCTAAGATGCTTAACGAACGAGGTATGTTGCTTTTTTGTTTGTGATATTCTAGCAGAGTATTAACGTTAGCAGAAAATGGCTATAAATTATTTCAAATTTTTTGTCCAAACTATATTTCTGAATGTTGCAGAATGTAACAGAAATGTCTTAAGTTTCATTTTTATGTATCATCTCTATGGGCTATGTATTAATTGAAGTGTTTTTGATTCATGATGAACCATATAATTTCACATAAACATATACAAATAAAATCCTATAAAACCAAATATCATCTTGGGCTTTAGGATTCCAAAAGTCCTACAATAATTGTTTCATTTCTGCAATATAATTCAGTTGAGCGTGGCTTCAAATTTCAACTCATCAACATGTTTAGCTTCAAATAATACTGGTACATTTTTATGCTCACTTGTTCTTTCAATAAAATTTTTGCCAATCTTTGTTTTAGCAAGCAGAAAACCTTGTCTTGTCTTACAAATAATAATGTCTAACTATCGAATTTTTAATTATTTATTTATTTTCCTTGCAGGTATCAAAGCAGCTACACCCTCTGCCTTCAACACGCCAAGTGGTGCCAACAGTTTCACTCCAACTGCCACGCCACATAACAGCCCCGACGGTACGCCAATGAGCACTCGACCAGGTTCGCCAGAACCCTATGAGGCCTTCAGTTTGCCCCAGCTACTTCTTAGCTCAGTGCCGCAGTTCCTTAGAGATACTGTGGGCGGCGGCGGCGGCGGAGCCAGCAAAAAACTTAGCTTTAGCAAATCGAAAAGAAGGGCCGCACGACAGGATAAGCAAGAGGTAATTGAAAGTTTTCCGTTGTTGAGAATGACCATATTTGAGTCTATATTTGAAGTTTAGTTAGTTGGATCTGGTTTGAGAAATATTTACAAAATAATACTTTATTAGGGTGGGATTTAAAAATGCAGGTGATAATAATGGTTTACTGACAAAACTTTCTAGTTTTTTTTTTGGGTGATCAAGTGTGGTGAATTAAAGGCTGTGAAAATAATATATATTTTTATTTGACATAATTATTTAGTCATAAGACAAGTTATCTGGTTGTAGGTTTATTATTTAAAATAACAATATCAAGTGGAAATAATGAAAATGATTAATTTTGTTTTACTTTTCTAGTCTATTACGTCAATTAAACGTTTTGCTCAATTTATAATAAAGAGATTTTGAGCCACCTATTTGATCAACGTTATACGTTATCGGTTATTTTGCTCATGCGCAATAGTGAAAAAATAACCGGTCCGCTTAATAAGTGGTAACGTACTATGCTAATTATGTGGAAATAAACGGAACGTTATTAGCCTATAACATTTTAACAGCTTTTCAGCAATGTTATCCATGAAGTACAGTACACAATTACACAAAACAAAACACAAATAAATACCAAACAATCCTAACATAAACAACAGACAACATAAAATTTGATGTTAGTTACACAAAATTAAATTCCTAACCACAAATTTTCATTAACGTTTAGCGTATAACGTCCTTCACAACTTTTGGCTTCAAAAACTAAACAAAGGCTAAATGTCATCCGCTGTTTTTCAAAGACTGCGCGTGCTCAGTTTACCGTTTAGCGTGTAACGTATTTCAAAATTTATGTGGCTCAAAATCTCTCTAATAATATGATAGATGCCTAACTTAAAATAGACTATTTAAATTAAATAACTTTCATTTTACATTTAAAAAGTCAAAAACAAAATTCCTTAATTTAAATATCTCAATTACATAAGTAATTTCAATTTAAAGAGGAAATTATAATGGATTTTTTATTCAATAAACAGTTATTCAACTTTAAAGCTTTTTGTTTTATTTCCAATTTGCACCAAATTTATTGACCCAAAATTACAATAATTACAATAATGCATTAATCATTCAACTACCAAAGGTCAAGAACATTGTCATATCTGAATAATTATTTAACTGGATGTTGAACGTTGTACCTAAGCAAAACCAGATAACTTTTTTGTTGTTATTCAGGCTTGCCAACATTATTTTTAGCAAGTTGGGAACACTTAGAGCGTCAAATTCATATACCTAAAATGGTTTCATTTATTTTAGAGCATTGTTGGGCAAATAGAGAAGTTTGGTATTTCAAACCTAATGACAGGCGGGCCTGGTGCCTTGTCGATATCCGGAGGAATGTACGCCAGACCTGCCCTAACTAGTCCCATGGCCCAATTGACTTGTTTGCTTCCTAGTCATAGTTCTGAAGACTTACCTGGGACTAGTGAGAAGTCCAATATCGATCGAGTAACAACAACACCACGTAAGTTTTTCAATTTATGTACAGACTATGAACAAAAAATCACTTGTTATACTGCAGGGTTGGCAAAAACCTGGGATTTTTGGGTTATTGTGATAGTTTTTGTGTGTTTATAGGGATTTTGTGTTTACTTAACTAGACAAAATTGGCCGTGTTCGTTTTTGTCATCTAGATCAGACAGTTTCAATTCACAAATCATGTGTCTGTCAAAATTTCAGAGCAAATCGACGAAAAAGATGACTAAAACGAACAAGGCTATTGTATATTTGTTTCAACAGTTTTGCACATGAGAAGCTTTCAAATTGAAATTATCGAACATTGAAAATTTGCCAAAAATGACACTGAAACAATTTTTGCTTCTTCAATTTTCATCCGATTTCAACGCAACTAAGCTCTAATCAAAGCCAATTAAATTCTCCCGTTACCTCAACCCGTTGATTAATATTTAAATTTAATTTCAACGGTTTGCAGCTGAGAAGCTTCAAAATTGAAATTGAAATTGAACATTGAAAATTTTCCAAAACCGACACTGAGACTGTTTTTGCCTCACAGCTCCTTTAACTTTTATCCGATTTTAACGCAATTAGGCTCTAATCAAAGCCATTTAAATTCTCTACAAACTTGTCGATCAAGATTTTAATTTAGTTTAAACGGTTTTGCAGCTAAGAAGCTTCAAAATTGAAATTATTGAACATTGAAAAATTTCCAAAAATTACATTGAGACAGTTTTTGCCTGACAGCTCCGTTAATTTCCGTCCGATTTCAATGCAATTCGGCTCTAATTGAAGCCAATTAAATTCTCTACAAACCCATTGATTATGACTTCAATTTAGTTACAACCGTTTTGCAATTGAGAAGCTTCAAAATTGAAATAATCGAATATTGAAAATTTTCTAAAAATGATACTGAGACAGTTTTTGCCGAGGTTTTTGCGTCACAGCTCCGTTAATTTCCATCCGATTTCAACGTAATTAAGCTCTAATTAAATCCAATTAAATTCTCTACAAACCTGTCAATCAAGATTTCAATTTAGTTTCAAGAGTTTTGCAGCTGAAACGCTTCAAAATTGAAATTATCGAACATTGAAAATTTTCCAAAAATGACACTGAGACAGTTTTTGCCTCACGGCTCCTTCAAATTTCATTCGATTTTAACGCAATTAGGCTCTAATTAAAGCCAATTACATCCTCTCCAAACCTGTCGATCAAGATTTTAATTTAGTTTCAACGGATTTGCTGCTGAGCTGAGAAACTTGAAATGATTGAACATTGAAAATTTTCCAAAAATGACACTTGAGTCAAAGTCAAAGTTTATTCATCATGTCAATACAATTTATAAAATGTTGACATACGTCAGAAAAATTGAACTAGGTACTTGTTTCTAGTGATGAAATTAACGGAACATTATACACTAAAACAATCAGGTTATACAAAAGTAGAAAGTACACTATTACACTTCAAAATCATGAAATTAACAATCATTGTTAAACAATACTACATTTTAAAATGATCAGGTACATACATGCACTAACACTTTTAGAGGAACAATACTATAAATTTCAAGTTGTTTTATTTCAACTTCAAACAAATTTAGAGGCATCTCTTGTACATGACTAGGTATTTTGTTCTAAAATTTAGGCGCATAGTAATTAGCTGATATTCTGATTCTATTCAGCCTATTGAAATCTGTCCGTATTAGGTCTCCCTGTCTGGTCGGGTAATCATGATACAAGTCATTGGTATGATCTTTACCCAGATTCTTGTGACCGTATGAAAGGCACTAGATGTATCGACTGGGAACAGTCATTACACCCATCCGCTGAAATCTACCCCTTACATCGTCTCTGTAGCCCAGGCCTGTGGTCACTTTGCCTGCTCTTCTCTGCAAGCCAAAAATACGAGAAGAGTTTGGTGCGTGTCCCCACACCAAGATAGCATTAAAAGCCACTGACTGAAAAATACCATGAAATGTCTGGAGAAGGGAATCCGTTGGCAACATTTGTTTGAGGTTTCTCCTCAAAGTTGGGTCAAGGTACACTCCAAGAAACAATCTCTCTCAGTCCAAAAAGGTTGTGCTCAGTTTTGCTGTCATTTAATGCCAGTTTATTCGCAGAAAACCAGTTCTTTAGGTAACCTCCTCATCCATCTCCAAGACAGAAGTATCATCCGCAAACCGAAACACTCTGGAAAAAAGTATGGAGCGGTTCACATCGTTTATGTAGACTAGGAACAAAAGAGGTTCCAGTACTAAGCCTTGGGGCACTCCAAACCATATCACTACATTAGATTTTTTTTTCTTGTATGATGTAATTTGGGTACAGTCTTCCAAGTAGTGGTTCAGCAAACTGACACTGCGATCATTTACACCATAAGCCCTAAGCTTGTCCCGAAGAATACAATGAGTGACACAGTTAAATGCCTTTGAGAGGTCGCAGCATGTGAAACATATATACTTCCTCCTCTCCAATGCCTCTGCTATGCATCCCAGCAGCTCCAAGACAGCCTGAGCAGTTGACTTGTTGGTCCTAAAGCCCAATTGGTATTCAGTTGATGCTTAAGTAAGCATTCAAATACCTTGAATATCACTGGGACAAGTGGGATAGGTCGATAGTTGTTTACAGCATCCATGTTACCCTTCCTAAATACAGAAACCACTCTTGACTTCTTCAAAGCAGATGGAAAAATCCAGTGCTTATGCAGCTTTTTGTTAGGGGCACTAACAAGACATCCTTTAAAGACTTCAGCAATGCGGAACTCATGCCCTAAATGTCTTGGCTTTTTTTGTTTTTCAAGGAGTCTATTGCTCCTCGAACCTGAATAAAACCAACCTCAGCGAATCCTAAAGCATTTGGCTGACAATTAATTTTCACAAGGTAGTCATTGTGTGTCATATTTGTGGGCAGGATACGGCTTAAGCATTCCTCCGCTATGCTTGAAAAAAAGTTGTTGAAGTGTTGGGCTGTCTGATTTTGCTGAATTTATTTTGTTACCCTTGAAATGATTTACAATGTCCCAAGAGGCTCTGACAGTATTACTGGATTCCTCGATATAATTGCAGTATGCTCTGCGCTTTCTGTCTCGCAATGATGCCCTGTAAGACCTCTTGTAGTCTTTTATATATACTTTCAGCTCTTCTGTTGACCTACAATAACATAATTCTGTGAGAAATCTAAGAGTTTCGAAGGCCATTATTACTCGTAGCGAGATTTCACTGGTGCTTGCCATCTTACGGTCTCTTAATGGAAAGAAAAGATTTAAACCAGCCTCAAGCACTTCCATAAATCCCGCAAATTTGCTATTGATGTCAGCAGAGACAGGTTTTGCCTCACAACTCCCTTAATTTTCATCCGATTTCAACGTAATTAAAGCCAATTCAATTCTTCACAAACCTATTAATTAAGACCTTGATTTAGTTACAACAGTATTGCAGCTGAAAAGCTTGAAAATTGAAATTATCAAACATTGAAAAATTTCCAAAAATGACACTGAGACAGTTTTTGCCTGACAGTTCCGTTAATTTTCATCCGATTTCAATGCAATTAGGCTCTAATTGAAGCCAATTAAATTCTCTACAAACCTGTTAATTAAGATTTAAATTTAATTTCAATGGTTTTGTAGCGGAGAAGCTTCAAAATTGAAATTGAAATTGAACATTGAAAATTTTCCAAAAAGAACACTAAGACAGTTTTTGCCTGACAGTTCCGTTAATTTTCATCCGATTTTAATGAAATTAGGCTCTAATTGAAGCCAATTAATCAATGTTCAATAGTTTCAATTTTGAAGCTACTCAGGTGTGAAACTGTTGAAGCCCATCAAAATCTTGGAAAATTTTCAATGTTCGATAAATTCAATTTTGATTAATAAGTTTGTGAAGAATTTAATTTGAAAAATAATGGAGCTGTGAAGCAAAAACTGTCTCAGTGTCATTTTTGAAAACTTTTCATGTTCAATAATTTCAATTTTGAATCTTTTCAGGTGCAAAACTGTTGAAACCAAATTGAAATCTTATTCGACTGGTTTGTGAAGAATTGAATTGGCTTTATTTAGAACTTAATTACATTAAAATCTGATTAAAATTAACAGAGCTGTGACGCAAAAATTGTCTCAGTGTCATTTTTGGAAAAAAATTCAATGTTCAATAAATTCAATATGGAGAATCATACAAAAATATACAAAACTGTATGATTATTCAAAAACTGTACATAGGATTTAATTCATACTAACATGGAAAGGTTGAGGGAATAGTCAGAAACAGGAAACTACCAGTGGCGTACACTCGATCGACCTACGAATGGAGAACCATATGAAAATATAAAAAACTGTATGATTATTCAAAAACTCTACATAGGAAATTGTATTATTATTCAAAAACTGTACATAGGATTGAATTCATACTAACAGGGAAAGGTTGAAGGAATAGTCAGAAACAGGAAAATACCAGTGGCGTTCACTCGATCGACCTACGAATGGAGAACCATACGAAAATATACAAAACTGTATGATTATTCAAAAACTGTACATAGGAAACTGTATGATTATTCAAAAACTGTACAGGTGTAAAACTGTTGAAACCAAATTAAAATCCTAATTAATAGGTTTGTAGAGAATTTAATTGGCTCTAATTAGAGCTGAATTACATTGAAATCGGATGAAAATTAATGGCGCTGTGATGCAAAAATTGTCTCAATGTCATTTTTGGGAAAAATTCAATGTTCGATAAATTGAATTTTGAAGGTTCTCAGGTGCAAAACTGTTGAAACCAAATAAAAATCTTAATTAACAGGTTTGTAGAGGATTTCCTTGAATTTAATAGGAGCCTAATTAAATTGAAATCGGATTATAATTAACGGAGCTGTGAGACAAAAACTGTCTCAGTGTCATTTTTGGAAATTTTTCAATGTTCGATAATTTCAATTTTGAAGCTTCTCAGGTGTAAAACTGTGAAACCAAATTAAAATCCTAACTAACAGGTTTGTAAAGAATTTAATTGGCTTCAATTAGAACTTGATTACATTGAAATCGGATAAAAATTAACGGAGCTGTGAGACTGGCCCAGTGTCATTTTTGGAAAAATTTTCAATGTTCAATAATTTTGGAAGCTTCTCAGTTGCAAAACTGTCGAAACCAAATTAAAATCTCAATTGACAGGTTTGTAGAGGGTATAATTGACTTTAATTAGAGCTTGAATATATTGAAATCAGATGAAAATTAACGAAGCTGTGAAGCAAAAACTGTTTCAGTGTCATTTTTGGAAAATTCTCAATGTTCAATAATTTCAATTTTGAAGCTTCTCAGGTGCATAACTGTTGCAACCAAATTGAAATCTTGATTAATAGATTTGTAGAGAATTCAATTAGTTTTAATTATAGCTCAATTGAATTTAAATCGGATGAAAATTAACAGAGCTGTGAGGCAAAAACTGTCTCAGGGTCATTTTTGGAAAATTCTCAATGTTCGATAAATTCAATTTTGAAGCTTCTCAGGTGCAAAATTGTTGAAACAAATATACAATTTTGCCTAGTTAAGTGAACATAAAAACCCAATATAAAATTTCAAAAACCCGGGCTTTTGCCAACCCTGGTGGAGGTGAAATTTTCCCAGTTGATGTTTCAATCAATTCAGTTTCAGCATGCCTTGTTCTTTAAAAATTAATTTCTTCACCATTTCTCTAAAAAGCTGTTAATCAAGATTCAAATTTAATTTCAATGGTTTTGCAGCGGAGAAGCTTCAAAATTGAAATTGAAATTGAACATTGAAAATTTTCCAAACAGGACACTGAGACAGTTTTTGCCTGACAGTTCCGTTAATTTTCATCCGATTTCAATGCAATTAGGCTCTAATTGAAGCTAATTAAATTCTCTACAAACCTGTTAATCAAGATTTAAATTTAATTTCAATGGTTTTGCAGCAGAGAAGCTTTAAAATTGAAATTGAAATTGAAATTGAACATTGAAAAAAAGGACACTGAGAAAATTTTTGCCTCACAGCTCCGTTAATTTTTATCCGATCTCAACGTAATTAAACTCAAAGCGAATTAAATTCTCTACAAACCTGTCGATCAAGATTTTAATTTAGTTTCAACAGTTTTGCACCTAAAAAGCTTCAAAATTGAAATTATCAAACATTGAAAATTTTCCAAAAATGACACTGAGACATTTTTTGCCTAACAACTCCATTAATTTTCATTCGATTTCAATGTAATTAGGCTCTAATTAAAGCACATTAAATTCGCTACAAATCTGTTGATTAAGATTTGAATTTGGTTCCAACAGTTTCGCACCTGAGTGAGAAGCTTCAAAACTGAAATTATCGAACATTGAAAATTTTCGAAAAATGACACTGAGACAGTTTTTGCCTAACAGCTCCGTTAATTTCCATCCGATTTTAATGTAATTAAGCTATAATCAAAGCCAATTAAATTCCCTACAATCCTGTTGATCAATATTTTAATTTAGTTTCAACGGTTTTGCAGCTGAGAAGCTCCAAATTGAAATTATCGAACATTGAAAATTTTCCAAAAATGACATTGAGACGGTTTTTGCCTAACAGCTCCGTTAATTTCCATCCGATTTCAATGTTATGATGCTGTAATTAAAGTCAATTAAATTCTCTACAAACAGATTGCAGTTTATTTACAACCGTTTTGCAGCTGAGAAGCTTCAAAATTGAAATTATCTAGCATTGAAAAATTTCCAAAAATGACACTGAGACGGTTTTTTGCCTTACAGCTCTTTCAATTTTCATCCAATTTCAATATAACTACGTTCTAATTAATGTCATTAAATTCTCTACAAACCTGTTAACTAAGATTTCAATTCCGTTTATTATTATTATTATTATTATTATTATTATTATTATTATTATTAATAAGAACTTTCTTCACAAAAATTAATATATCAACAATCAAGTAGGATAAATTCTCAAATAAATTACAATTATAAATTATTTTCCAGTTACAAAACCTAAGCCTGACCTCGGAGTACCAGGTAAGCCGGGCAGTGGCGCCCTCAATCGTCGTCTAGAGCAAATGAGCGCCAGAAAACAACGAAGACAAGGCGGAACGGGTCAAACTCGGCCAGATTTGGGCACAGTGTCGACAAGGAAAAGTCCAGAACCGGATCAAGCCAGAAGTGCTTCCACGTTGGGCACGTTGAGCAGTCTTTTGTTCGGAAGAAAGGGTGGCTTGTTTTAGATAGAGATTTGGATTGATTCGAGGGACAGAACAATTGGCAATAACTTATCATCCAGAGAAACGTGAAATTATAATTGCATTTAAAAATATCAATGCTGCGTTTATTAATCGATATTATTTATTTTATAACAGGCAACTTTTTTTTTTCAAATTTGTCATTTGTTCTGTTTCTAGATAATTTTGTGATATAGATAGAAACGGCGTTAACCTCAACGAAATTCTGAATCATATATACATTTCTTCCATTTATGTCATCTCCGTCTATATCTTTATTATTTTCCGTGAATTGATTCAGACTGGGATGATCAAAATTGAGCGGATATGGATAAAGAATTTAACTATTTAAAGAAAATTTGCGTCTTTATACACTGCGAACTTCATGTTAAAATTTGTGGCAAATACTCCAGAAATTTCGGTAGGTATCCCAATTTCATCTCACTTTCTCCTTAAACAAAAATGTGGACATGTATTAGTAGGTAATAGTTTTTGTCTCGCCGAATGGACAAATAAATAACTAAGATCATTGAAAAATTTAAAGTGGATGTAGAGCCAATTTGCCAATTTTTGAGAACTATTTCGTTCTATATAGCCAGCAGTACACCCACCCCTAAATTCTTAAATGGAAACTGATACTTTTCAATTTTTTTCACTTTGCACTATTCTTTCATATGAATGTAATACCTGGGTCGTTCTCAAGATAATGATCATTTTTCACAAGACTGTCCTTCTATTGTTTATTGTTACGGAGGATATTGTGTATGGGTGCTGCACATGACAGCCAAAATTGTAGTAGTTCGTTTTGAAATGAACACCCAGGTATTACAGTTTTAATCATATTTCTCACTTTTTTAGTTGGAAAATAAAAAAGTGTAGGAGACATGAATAGTAAGCTAACGAAGGTTAACGCCGTTTAAATAATCTTAGTGCTAAACCGCCAAACAATTACTAAAAGGTTTGAAAAATAAATTTAATCAATAATACCCGTATTTATATATTTAGCAATAATTTATATGAAGTGACCTAAGCCTTTTAGTTTTGTTTTATTTTATTATACCTTACTTGAAAAGTGCTTTGGAAAATGATGGTTATATTATTGGTGCCTGGATTCTTTTCCCAACTAGTTTAATGTTTCGCTTTTGGTAATTCTGCACAAAAAATTGATATTAATTTTGGTAACTGTGTTATTATGCAAAAGCAAATACATATACCAAATCTAACGTGAAATTATATTAAATGAATCATACTTCTGATATTACGAAATTTGTGATTTAATATTAAAATGCTTGATGCCTCTTTTTGTTATTCGACTAGTTAAAATTTATTGTGGCGTCTTTTTATGCGTTATTTTATTGATCTGAGAGTATTAATTAACTGGTTAATTAACGGTTCCTGTTTATTAAGCTTGTTTTAGAGCACAAAATACATGTTTTGAAATGAGTTTTTGGTGCTGTTAGGCTAGAGTGTATATAAAAGGTTGTGTATAAAGAACGCTATTACAGGTTTCTTTTTTAGTTTTTAGTCTAGTTAATCAGTCAAGTATTTTTCTTTGTATTGATATGTAAGGCGGCTACTAGTTCAAGTATTTGTAACCATAAAACGATTAATAAAAATTTCCCCTAATTCCGCAGATTCCTAAAATCAGAAATGTTGAGTGGGGGAGAAGTATTATTCAGAAATATTTCTTGATCAAAAAATAAAACATGAATTTGAGGTTTTCTAGTTTGAATTTCTCAAACAAGTTTGTAACCATTCTCATACCTACATATTACGGTACAAAAACAAAAATATCAATATAAATTAGAATTTCAGCTGTCAGAAATATTTTTGTGTATTTTCCTATTTATTTTTTTTTGTCTATTCTTTTTCCTTTAGAAATATTTATTGATTTATTATTTTAGACAAATATCTAAACTAGAACATTTACATAATATAGAATATTTGATCAATATCCGATACAGTATCAACGTAGCTGTAAACTATTTTATTATTTAAAGGATTTGTTGCCTGTTGAATAAATATATAATGAAAAAAAATCATGATGTTTTATTTTAAATCAAATATAAATAATTGTATTTTTCGAAAAAGAACTCATCATATTGTAAATTCCTGTCTTGGAATTTAGGCGGATGTTTGGAACACTTAGTAGTTTGTTGATTGTGACTTGTAGGTTGGGTTAGTACACCTGGGAAATTTGGTAACTGGGGAGTAAGAACCACTGTTGGATTAATACTCCCCAGTTATGAAACTTCCCGGGTGTACTAACCCAACCTACAAGCCACAAACTACTATAAGTGTTCCGAGCATACGCCTAAATTCCAAGACAGGAATTTACACATGTTGAAGAAATAACCAATTGTGACAGTTCATTATGGAAAAACGTTTCTACACGTTTCTTTCTTAAATTGCTTAAACCATTCTGAATAATTTATCAGTTGATGCAATTGACTGTTAAGATCAACTAATATATCCAGTGCTTATTATCATTATTCAACAATAATTATTAATTATTCTGATCTGATTAACATAACAGCACTTAAGTCACGGCTATATTGTAAATGTGTGTGTCCATTCACTTTTTTTTCATTTATTAAATAAGCAACAAGTTGCATTTAATGCAAATTTAGAATGCAATACAAGAAACTTTTTCCTTGAATGGTGGCAGTTAATTTCACAGGATTTTTATTGTAAGAAGGTTTGTATTACTTTTAATAGGTGGGTTTTGGTTTAAGAGACGCCATATATTAGATTGGAAAAAAAATGGTTTATTTTTGTGCTTTATTATTTAGTTTGTTTGTTGGTCTAGGAGACGGAAAACTTGTGAGTTTTAATACGATAATAAATGAGTTTTATTAAAAGTCGATTATTTTCAAGAGCCCAGTAGTGAAAATTAAAGATGGAATGCTTCAAGGTGCAACACAAAATTCAGTTGGAAGTGATAAAGTATTTTATGCTTTCAGGGGAATACCTTATGCAAAGCCTCCGATTGGTGATTTGCGATTTAAGGTGAAGTACATTGTTTTTTTTTGTACCTAAGTATACATATTTTATAGAGTTTAATTCTGTTTTGATTTTGTTTAATATAGGTAAGTACCTACATAACAAAAATTAGTGTAATGTTTTTTCAATTTTTCATCAAATAAATTTAAAAATAGCTGCCCCTATTCAAAGAGAAGAAAATCTCAGTGGAACGGAAGGGAAGTAAAACTTTCTAATTGAAATAAATTTATATTAAACTCCTATTATCATTTTTGTTTTATAGTTTTAAAAAATCATGTAAAATTTCTATTAAATGACCTTTAGAAGCTTCTGAAAAATACTTCAAATAATCAAAGGGACTTCAAACTTTCGGGATTTATTGAATAGGGTCTTTTTATGAAACAAAACAAACCTTAAATGGATTTCAGACTCTGAAATGGAATTATGATTTTTTTCTCACTTAAATGTAATAAAATCATGTAAAATTTCTATTAAATCACATTTGAAAATTTCTGAAAAATACTACAAGCAATCAGAGTGACTTCAAACTTCTAGGCAGTGTTGTCAGATGTCAAATTTAAAATTATCAGGATTTGAGAACAAAATTATCAGATTCCAAGAAAAATTATCAGAAAGCTCAAGGGCTTCGTTTTCAAGATAATCGGCTTTGAAGCTTTTGCAAAATTTGAGACAAAGTTTTAACTTTGAGCCTCAATATCTTCAAAAGTATTTAAGATATAGAATTGAATCTTATTTATCTTGAAGATTATTTAATTCTGATTCAGAATATATAATTTTACATCATATTTGTTATAACAATAACCGAGTAATCAGCAATTTTGTAAAAGTATAGGTATCAGATTATTGAAATTTTTTGAGCCCAAAAATTGCAAATATCGTTTATTTTTTTTACAAGACGTAAAACCCTAAAAACAAAGTTGCGTAGATGCTTTTCCACTAATTTTCACCTCCTCTTTTGATTAGTAAAGTCAAAAATTGCAAAATCCAAAAATTTAAAAATTCGAACTTATGCATGGAAATTGGATTTTCAAATATTTCAAATGCTTGTATTTTGGAAATCAGTGAAGCTATTGGCATGAATCTTTTGCCCAATTGTAGCTCTTAATGAGGGCTACAAAAAAGGTTATTTAAGACTCCGAGCCCAAGGGCTTCGTTTTCAAGATAATCCGCCTGGAACCTTTTGCAAAATTTAAGGTAAAGTTTCAACTTTGAGCCTCAATATCTTGACAAGTATTCAAGATATAGAATTGAATCTTATTTCATCTTGAAGATAATTTAATTCTGATTCAGAATATATAATTTTACATTATATTTGTTACAATATTAACAGAGTAAACAGCAATTTTGTGAAAGAATGTCAGATTATTGAAATTTTTTTGAGCTCAAAAATTGCAAAAATCGTTTTTATTTTTTAACAAGGCTTTAAAACCCAAAAAGGAAAGTTGCGAAAATGCTTTTCTACTAATTTTAACCTCTTCTTTCGATTCGTGAAGTCAAAAATTCAAAAAACTGAAAATTTAAAAATTCGAACTTTTCCAAAGGGGTATGCATGGAAATTGGATTTTCAAATACTTCAAATGCTTGTATTTTAGAAACCAGTGAAGCTATTGGCATGAATCTTTTGCCCAATTGTAGCTCTTAATAAGGGATACAAAAAAGGTTATTTAAGACTCCGAGTCCAAGGGCTTCGTTTTCAAGATAATCCGCCTGAAAGCTTTTGCAAAATTTGAGATAAATTTTCAACTTTGAGCCTCAATATCTTCAGAAGTATTTAAGATATAGATATTGAATCTTATTTTATCTTGAAGATAACTTAATTCTGATTCAGAATATATAATTTTGGATCATATTTGTTACAATAATAAACGAGTAGTCAGCAATTTTGTGAAAGATTGTCAATAGGGTACTTGCATGGAAAATTAAATTGATTATTGTTTATTGCAAACTGTAGGAAATCGAAAAAAAGTCGATGCGTTTTTTTTTATTTTGTCCAAATATGATTATTTCGAAAGTTATACAAATATTGAGTTTTGTATATATAGATATACTGAGCATATGCGACGTCACAACGTATTATAAGTTATGACGTCAGAAGGACATTTCAACGCGTTGTATCTCCATCAATTTTTGACTAACAAGAAAAAGAAAAAACACGTGTTGACTTATTTTTCATGGACTATCGAAATCAGCAATAAAATGCAAAGGTCCATTGCAAAAATGGATTTTATTTTTTAACAAGGCTTTAAAACCCAAAAAGGAAAGTTGCGAAAATGCTTTTCTACTAATTTTAACCTCTTATTTCGATTGGTGAAGTCAAAAATTCGAAAAACTGAAAATTTAAAAATTCGAACTTTTCCAAAGGGGAAATTTGATTTCCAAATATTTCAAAGAGCCATATTTTGGAAACCAGTAAAGTTATAGACCTATCTATTTTTACCTGATATGCGCGCGCAACACGAGGCAATGTCTTTTTATTGGCTAGCTAATATAGGTGTGAGGTGATCGTTTTGCACGCTGGGCATCTCTTTATCCTTGTTCATTGCACGTGGTCTGACAAGAATAAATCCAAAGTTGATATTCAACTTGACAAGTGTCATTCAAAAGTTGTTTGACATTTTCATTGACAAATATCTTGCACAACACGCGGTTTTTCATCTTTCCTTTTTATCCTGTGCAAATAAGAAGGACGGATTGCTAGACGTAAGTCTAACATAATTTGGTACGTTTTGCCTCGTCTTGCGCAATCAGCGTTCTGTGTCTTTTTTTAATTAATGAAGTTTTCGTATTATTACCTCTTTGTCTGGTAAAATAGATAGGTCTATTGGCATGAATCTTTTGCCCAATTGTAGCTCTTAGTAAGGGCTACAAAAAAGGTTATTTAAGACTCCGAGCTCAAGGGCTTCGTTTTCAAGATAATCCGCCTGGAAGCTTTTGCAAAATTTGAGGTAAAGTTTCAACTTTGAGCCTCAATATCTTCAGAAGTGTTTGAGTTATAGACTTGAGTCTTATTTTACCTTGAAGATAATTTAATTCTTATGCAGAATATATAATTTTACATTGTATTTGTTAAAATAATAACCGAGTAATAAGCAACTTTGTGAAAGAATGTCAGATTATTGAAATTTTTTGAGCTCAAAAATTGCAAAAATCGTTTTTATTTTTTTACAAGGCTTTAAAACTCTAAAAACAAAGTTGTAAAAATGCTTTTTCACTAATTTTGATCTCCTCTTTTGATTGGTAGAGTCAAACATTGCAAAATCCAAAAAATTTTAATATTCGAATTATTTTTCAAAGGGGTATGCATGGGAATTTGATTTTCAAATATTTCAAAGGGCCATATTTTGGAAACCAGTAAAGTTATTGGCATGAAACTTTGGCTCAATCTGGGACTAGTGTTTGGTGCTCGCACCAGTACGTCAAAACATTCAAAACCAACAACCACCTTCAATTTTTTAATAAATTTTTAATTTTTAACTAGAAATTTGAAAAATCTATATTAAAATTGTAGTTTCAATAAATTATGGTAGATTAGCTTGTCATTATCGATTATTGAATCGTAGTCAAAATTATGGTAGAATTTTATATAATTATCGGGTCATTGGCAACACTGCTTCTAGGACTTATTGAGTAGGGTCTTTTTATTGAACAAAACAAACTGTGACACTTAGATGCAATAAAATTATGCAAAATTTCTATAAAATCACCTTTGGAAGCTTTTAAAAATATTTCAAGCAATCAGAGGAACTTCAAACTCTCAGGATTTAGTGAGCACTGTGAGCAGGGTCTTCAAGACAAACCGTCAGTGGATCTAAGGCTCAATAATGGAATTATGAATTTTTTCTCATTCGTTGTCTTCTCTCATTTTAGAGATATTTACCTGGATACAAAATGTGTCAGTTTATCTATATAATAATGGTTTATTGTCAAAAAAATAATAATAAATAATTTGTAGACTGTCTCAAGATCAAAAATATATAGGTAATATTATGTACATCTACTAAAATTTTTTTTTTGGCGTGTAAGATAAATTGGTTCTCGAATTTTAGGCGCCAGTGAAAAATGATCCATGGAAAGGTATCCTGGACGTTACAAAAGACAGAGACAAATGTGTCCAAACCGCAGGTATACTTGGATTAACTATAGCCGGCTCAGAAGATTGCCTCCATTTAAATGTTTACACACCAAATGTAGGTAACTAAATTAACTAGCTTCAAACACATTTTATCCAATTTTCACTAATAGGTCACAGGAAATTTTCCAGTCATAGTCTGGATTTTTGGAGGAGGCTTCAGTATCGGAGGCGCTGATTACGATACATACGCTCCAGACTTTCTTCTGGATCGAGACATTATTTTTGTCGCGATGAACTATAGACTGGGAGCTTTCGGTTTTCTTAGTACTGGAGACTTGAATTGTCCTGGAAATTGGGGCCTCAAGGATCAAATAATGGCCCTGCGATGGGTCAAGGAACATATTCGGGCATTTGGAGGAAACCCGGAAAAAATAAGTATTGCCGGTCAAAGTGCTGGATCGGCTTCTGTTTCTTATATACTTCAAGATAAAAAAACTGAAGGTAAAAATATGGATGTAGTTTTACTTTTAACTAATTCACTTTTATATTGTATTTTCTTCTGTCTTCAGGCTTATACAATTCAGCGATTTTGCAAAGTGGCTCAAGTTTGTGCTTATGGTCATTGTCGCGAACTCCAAGGGAAATTGCATTTGCAATTGGTGCAAGATTAGGCATTTTCACTGCTAGTAGCGAAGATCTGGTAAATGAGCTAAGAAAAGTTGATTACAGAAGGTTAAAGAGAGCGGAAAATGACGTAAACTATGTGGTAAGAGAAGGGAGACCTTTATTATTTACATTTTTTGTTGGCATTATTTTTTTTTATAGGCCATCGCTGTAGACAATATGTTCAACGGTATGCCGTTAGGGCCTGCTGTAGAGCCCGAGCATGAAGGGGCAGTTATCACTGGAAAAAGCCACGAGCTTTTACGTACCGGACAATTTAATAAAATTCCTGTCATGCTTGGGCTAAATTCAAATGAAGCCAAATCATTCCTTGGGCTATTTATTGGTAATTTTGCTTCACACTTTTCTGGCCACCATATTTTATGTTCTGCAATACATTTTAGATGTTCTAAAGCCCTTATTTACAAGATACGATTTGAATATTGCCCGATTGGCACCGTACGATTTAACGAGAAACAGTACTAAAAGAATTTTGGCCGGTAACGAAGTTAAGCAATTTTGTTTTGGAGATGAGCCTATTATGACTAGACCATCGGCCAGTATTATACAAGTAAATTTTACTAAACAAACGAAATATGCATATATTATTTATTTAAAATTTGTTGTTAGTTTATTAGTAACGAACAATTTAACCGACCAATAAGAGAAACCGTAACGCAAATGGCAAAATACACAGATGTTTACTATTATGAATTTGGGTATAGAGGATCCCTGGGTGAATTTGAAAATTCTTATGCAGGTAAAGTGGACAATTGAGTAACTGGAACTGTTATGATCTCATACATAGTCTACAAAATTTGTATCTGGTTGTCAGAAAGCAAACTAATTAATCAATTTTCCTATCAACAGGTGTTGGACATTATGAAGAGATATTCTATTTGTTTGCTAATAAAGCCAATGCTAACAAGGAAGATAAATTGGCTAGAATAAGACTTTTGGAATTGTGGAGCAATTTTATTAAGCATGGGTAATTAATTGCACGTAGGAAACTTATAATTACCTAACATGGTATATTTTAGAAACCCAACACCAAAACCGGTGGAAGGAATCACTTGGGAACCGAATTCTCCAGTTAAAAAACATAATGGAAATGTTGTGTATTTGGGCATCAATTCGACACTGACAGTTAAGCAAAATCCTAATCAAGAAGACTGGGAATTTTATCAGAACTTGTATGGAAAGTACGGAGACCCTCCTTTTTCAACATATTAATTTCTTTTATTGTTAATATTTAGTTTGAGTTTTTTCAATTTATTTATTGTTCCTGATGTAAAAAGACATGTTGAATAAATATATTTAGAAATCTTATGATGTGATTACTGAAAAATCCCTACTTACCCAGTTGCTGATGGCTTCAAGCTTCAAAAAGTTGAATAACGTCAAAAGCATTGCAAATAAACAACAAAATTACAAAACCTACAATAAATAAATAATAAAAAAATAATTCTGAAAAATTACATTTATTGGATATGATCTGATCATCCCATAAACCATTCAAAATAAAATATACACAGTTATCACAAATTATTTCAGTACAAGTAAACAAAATATTGAAAATTTATTGTAAAATTGTATTTAACAATGAAATAACTTACTCTCAACTAAACAATATTATACTTGTTGTTCATGCAAGTCAAATATCGGGATTATTAGTAGATAAGAATCCATACAAGTTCAAAAAAAAAAATTGTACCTTGGTGGCTAGCGCTATGGAAAACGAACTACTACGAGTTCGCAGAAGTCTAAGGTTCAGTCGGTCCAAAGATTATAACAACAGAACAAACTGTCCAACAAAGGGCTCTTGGCAATCAGAAGTCGGAACTTGGTATCCCTGTAGAAATTGGCCGCAAGATATTTGACCAGAACCAGCAAGGTAAGGTACTTAAAACTTTTGTATTTGTACGGTCTTTACAGTCGCAGTAGTCAAAGGACTTAATTAAATTATAGTACATGAACAATAGTTATACAATAATATTCTTTGATCAAATTAAATTGCTCAAATCTGATAAACTATATTGGTTAAAGAACAATTATGCTATCAGACAAAGATAAATTTAGTTCCATCCAATTATTGTTGTACATACAATTAAACATCTGATTGAAATTGATTTTTATGACATGCAGTAGTTGATCAAAAATCATTTAAAATGCATTTTCGGATCCATGTACAATGAAACTTTTTTCCTAATTCAATGAGAATGATATGTAAGAATTATGTTTAATTTCAAATCAATGTACTGTGTATATACAAATAATAATTGAAAATAAGTGTCTTATAGATAAGTCAAGTCAAATTCATTGTTAAATAATATCAAATTATATTTTTATAAAATGTAAAAAACCCTATATGGCATGTACTGTATTAAACAAGCAACAAAGCAATTAGGCTATAAAAAATCTGCGATTTTCCATACCTGAAAACGTTCGATTATTGCCAGAAGAATAATATTTAAAGTCACAATAAACAAATACAATAATTCTTACTTATAAATCTACTTTTTCAAAAACTGTAGGAGTTGAACGCCTTAAATATTATTTCTTTTAAAAAACTGCATTAAAAATTATGTGAAAAAGTTATACAGTGTGAATAAGGCAAAATTGGAAATGCTAATAATAATGTAGTTTAAAATGTTACCACCAAGTCTATTTTATAAAAATAAGTTTTTACAGATAATTTTTTACTAAGAAATATCACTACAATTTATACAAATAATTATTTTCTGCAGGGAGTAATAAATTGCAACTGAAAAAATTGTATATTAATTATTATATTCTAATACATATAACTAAAAAATAAATTGTAGTATAATTTTTTCTGTCAGGGATATATAAGTCATAAAAATGGATGCTTGAGCAATAAATCAGGGAATAAATCATTGAAAGCGTGAAAATAATATGCAGTGAAAGATTTATTCAAATGTAAAATTTTTGAATCTTTCCTAACTGAGCTTGTAAGAAAGTACATATAAGAATAGTTTACCCAAACTTATATTCTTCAGCAATTTTACATAATAAATAGCAATAAAATCTGGCTTTTTCTTATTTTGAAACATTCACATGAAGTAGGCAGGTATTGCAAATTATTCCATTAAACAAATTATATCAATTAAAAATATTGGTTTAAATAAAGGGACAGAATTTCATAAAATACATTTAGATATTTGAAACAAAATCTCACAACTCATAAGTACAGTGCCTACAGCAAAAAATAATATGTAGTTGAATTCCATCAGGAAATTTAAGGATTTCAATCATTCTATTTCTTAATGCCTTTGAAAATAAGTTTAAAATAAATGCAAGTATGTGAACTATTCAAAGTTACAGTCTAAAGTGTGCAATAAAATATTAAACACTTAAAAAAATGTACCAAGGTCCAAATAAGTAAATTATTGAAGATTTCCTATGTTCACACGACAATTGCCTATTTCAGTTTATTGAATTTCCAATTTCCAGATAACTTGGTCAGGCTTACTAGTTTTCAGGTCTATAATTCAAACTTTATTGCCATTTGGACCAGAAGGTCTTTTTGTACTTTGTTCAATTTTAGTTCAGCACAAAAACTCACTTCTTGGTATAATGACATTAAAGTACGATTATTGTCGAAAGTACAAGTTTTGCTGACAAAGCGTCAATAACGAAAAAATTAAAGAGCTAGAAAAGGGCCATATATCTATCACGCATATTTAATAATTATTATGGACTTTTGACTTTGTAAAAAAAGGCACATTTATAAATAGCATCAAAATAACCTGATAAAACTCAACCAAATAAATTATGATTCAAATTGTCGATTTAGCTAGCCTCCTAATGAATCATAAAACGAGTAGTTATACATAAAACATTTATTGCAGACTCTTACCGGCTTGAGCAGGCCGTACTTTGGCAACGGAACACTGTTGGCTGAGCAAGGACCGCAGAATACTTTCCCGCAATTTCGGCAGTGGTGCCTTCTCTTCACCACTGTAAAATTTGAACCGCAGCTCATACACTTGGGGGCCTCAATGTCAGGAATCCACGCAGGTGGTACTTGAGGTGGTTCCGATCGTGATTGGGTAATTTCTGGTGGCGACTGATGATTGATTCCAGGTAGCGCTGAATCTCGACTAGCCACACCTTCCCGTAGGATGGCGTATCTATTAAAATCAGAAGTTAGAGCAGTTATAGAATCCTCTATTTGATATTGTCGAGGATGATTTGTGTAGTCAGTTTCCGGACAGCCCTCACTGTCCAAATGAAAATACACGTTGGTATCGAACAAAGCTTCTTGCGCTAGTATATTAGGATCCACAGAAAACTCATTATTTTCGATAACTTCATCTTCTGCAGGATGGTATTCTATGGAACTGTCCAGGGATCGTGTATCCAATGATTTAGGAGGCGCCTCACTGGAATCAGAGGCGTTTATAAGGAACACTGATTTGAGGATGTTACGAAGATCACAAGCGAAATTCGTTTGGAGCTGGTCAGCTACTCCGGCAACACATACAAATAATCGGTGAATTAGGTCTTCACTGGATCTGAAACAGAAAATATGGTTAAAATTTAATCTGGAAGTTGATACTAATATAATGGACATTCAACAATATTATGGAAGCTAAAATTTAGTTTTATATAATATTAGTAATATATTTTACCTGTATTTAGAGCGGAGTTCTTCCCTATTAGCAAGTTCAGCAGCCTGAATAGCATAAGCAATCTCCTCATCATCTGCACAATTACTATTGAATGAAGATGTTTCTGAGCTACTCGAGCAAGAATATTCGTTGGCAGAAAGAGCACTAGTCAATGGAGGACTCTTCTTTCTCACCAATAATGTTGACTTAGACCTCTCATTTTTTGGCGACAATAGTTTTCTCTCGGAAGGACATTTGTAGTTCTGTTGGCATCTACACTTGCAATTATTATTTCTTGACTCGGTTATTTCCAGACTGGGAGAACGATCTAAGCTAGTTGTTTCAGTGCAAATCCCAGAATCATCTGGAGATTCGAGTTCTTGACTTTGCTTTTTCTGAGAGGCGGATGATTCGTTTATGTTCAGGATCGATGACAACGTGGCAGCAGCAGCTGATATAACTTCTAAAGAATCATGGTCTGGAGGAGAATCAACGGAAGCCGAATGACCGCGCGGATTTGGTGACGCAGATGAAGCTATAATTGTGTTACGTACTATATTTGTGGGAATTAAATAGCCTGATGTGGAAGGCCCTTCTAAAGCTTCACTTATCGTAGAAGTGTTTCGTTGTTGTGAATAATTAGCATCTTCTTCAGGCTCTTTTTCCTCCTCATTGTCGAATAATTGTTCATAACAGAAAGGCAAATCATTATAAAACTGATCATAAAACTCGTCCTCATTTATATTTACATTTACATTACTAACAGATTTAACATCGTCAATTTGCTCATTATCACATAGAAGTTTTTCAAGCATGAAAAGTTCACGTTTGTTCAAAATCCATAGCAACTCACGGATTTTATGTAAAAGTGTTCGAAAGGGTCGAAACATTTCGCTCATTTTTTCCATAGGTTTATCAATGCACAAAGGCCCGTTTGGAAAAATTAAAAGGCCACTAACTATAGCTAGTCGCGGGATAGTGAACATTAAAGCTGGATCACAGTCGTCTATCATTTCTTGAGTAAGAAGCTTCATTTTTAAAGAACGATGCAGAGTTTCTGAAAAAAGCACTCCTATCAGCTCCTGCAATTCAAATTCTTGAGTAGATTTCACCGGCACCATAGCGCTAACGTAAGCTAATTCAAATTCAGCAAATAATCTATCAAAAATTTTCAGGCATTCCAAAAGCATTTCAGTAAAAAGATCACTGATGTCCAGGGCAATCGGCCCATTCGGGATGTTGTTCCTCAGGCAAGATTCTCTCAGGAGGTTTCTAACATTATCTAAGCTTTTCGTTACAGCTTTGGCTAGGGGGCGCATGGCAGAACTTTCGGCTTCTCGGTTCATTATTGACGATCCAGCTGCTAAACACTGGAAATAGAAAGCCAATGTTAGATGATATTGAATTTGTTATCAAGTTACCAGTATAATTTATTAATAATAAAAATAGGTGTGAATAGAAACATGTTCCAATTCTGCCCACTTTTTAAATTGCAAATATTTTGGGGGCCTCAGTTCAGATACTTATTAACATGTTGATGAAACACAAGCACTACAAATATTAGAAAATAAAGCACATATTTGAGCTGAACTTTTATATACCAAATATACACCTAAAAATATGTGAATTGAAAGTGCTAGACCAATCAAAATTAATGTAGGTATTCAATAAACAACAATCTGTTTAAAACAAATGTGAAATGAGAACAGACAGTATTACAGCTACAGCATAAGTAATAACAAACAATTACGGAATATAATATACAAGAATAAAAAACAAAGAAGATTCGCGCCAATATATGTATAAAAATGGTCATGAGTATATAATAGATTCCTTTGATTTTTTTGGTTCTAGCCCTGAAGATGACACACAGCAATGTCAAAACGTTGCATTAATTAATTTGAATTTGCATCAAAACTGTCCAAAAGCCAGGGTTGGATCTGTCTTTGCGTTGCTCAACATACTTACTTTTTGACTATTGAAGGGAAATGTTAATTCTTTTCAATTAAATCAGATTTTATGACATAAACTGATTTCCTATTTACTAAATCAGATCCTTTCTATTCAAACAAAATCAAATACTAGCACAGCTGAAACATTAGATTACGACCCTGAGTCCGATGTTTTCATAGACCCAAAAAAATCGGTAAAAATCAGTTTTTATTAGAATATGAACATGAACTAGTGTCACAACCTATTTTGTTGCAACTGGGGGCTTGGGATATTTTGGGGTTTTACTGCCAAAATGTGGGGATCACAAGTTGCAGTATTCTTACTATTAGTTTCTGGCTGAGTTAATTTCTTATCTGCTTCAATATTTTATCAGTATGTTGAAAAATTTTGAAACTACAAGAAGTGTCTAATTATTTGCAACAAAATCCTAAATTAATTATTATTGATGAGAAAAGAAAATAAAGGAAAAAATTTGCACAAGCCTAATCATTTTCGTTGCTGATTACATTTATGAACATGACCAGAGGTCAAGATGTAATGATAAAAAATTATAAGCAGTTCAATGGAAAATAAATATATTTTTTTTACTACTAACCTGAGAAATAGTCATTATTCAATCTATTTTTCTAGGAAAAAATTGAATTTCTCTCCCTAGGTGAATAATGAAAATAATGAAAAAATACCTAGGTCAATAATGAAAATGACGTCATGACGCAAGGATATTGCAATGTTTCTATTGGTTCAATTTCATACGTCAATTTAAAAAAAAATACAGGTTTCTGTAGGTACATAGTAAGTTATCATAAGATGTTGATAGATGGCAGCACTTTGAAGAGGGCGTTCAAAAAAAAAATAATTAAGAGCACAGATTTTAAACAATTTTTTTTATTTTCTACTAGCAGTAGTAAAAAAAATTCTATATATTCCTCGGTAGAGAAAGTCATTATATACCCCACGCATTATAAACCTCGGCGCTACGGTATATAATGACCAACTTCTCTACCTAGGTATATAATATACTATTTTTTACTACTAACCTGAGAAATAGACATTATTCAATCTATTTTTCTAAGAAAAAATTGAATTTCTCTCCCTAGGTTAATAATGAAAATAATGAAAAAATACCTAGGTCAATAATGAATATGACGTCATGACGCAAGGATATTATCATGTTTCTATTGGTTCAATTTCAATTTCATACTTATTTATTTATTTATTTATTTATTTATTTATTTATTTATTAACGTATCAACATTTACAGGTTTACAAGTGAACTTAAACTAACTAACCTAAAACAGCCCTTTTTGCACAACTCTTAAATTTTTTATGAGAAACAAAAAAAAGAAACAAAAAATTCTAATGACTCACAAAACTTATTCACATTCGCTGATACTCTGTTAACAGGACTATACAATAAGTACCAAGAATTACAAATTGGTATATGCATCAAGGTCTGCCTACGTGTTGGATATCCAGGTACACGAAATCGAAAAGTTTCCAAACATTCTGGACTCTTGATATAGTAGTTCAGAACATTACATGCAAAGCATATGTCATAGTATTCTCTTCTGCGAACAAGAGATGCTAAGTCTAGGTATAACATAGTCTGATCATTATCAAGTTCAATACCATTGCAAAAAAGTTTATATTTAGCATATTTTATAAATTTAAGTTGAACATTTTCAAGTCTATTTATATGAACCTGATAATATGGCGACCAAATTATGTTTGAAAATTCAAGGATGGATCGAACCAGCGATGTATACAACACCTTCAGAGCAAACACATTCCTAAAGTCTTTACTGGTTCTTTTGATAAAACCTAATATTCTATTAGCCCTACCTACTATATACTCAAAGTGCTCGATGAACGTAAGTTTAGTGTCCAAGTAAACGCCAAGGTCCTTAACAACAAATACCTCAGCAAGAGCAACGTGATTAATGGAATATTCCACAGGTATAGTATTCATCAAGCGGGTGAAGCGCATAAAGCAGCATTTGTCGATATTAAGTGACATGTCGTTGAGGTTACACCAATCGTATACAATGTCCAGATCATTTTGCAGAAGAAGAATATCACGAGTTGATGATACTTCCCGAAATATCTTCAGATCATCCGCAAACATCAGAAAATTGGAGGAAAGTAGATGGCCCAGGTCATTGATGAATAAACTGAACAAGAAAGGTCCCAAATGAGATCCCTGAGGAACCCCAGATGTGACATCGAACTTATCCGAGAGATAACCATCAATTCTCACCTGCTGAATCCTACCTGACAAATAAGACTCCAACCAAGAAATCAAAGTACCCGCAATGCCATAACCGGACAACTTTGAGAGTAGAAGAGCATGATTGACCTTATCAAAGGCCTTACTGAAGTCAGTATATATAGTATGTATCTCACAACCGTTCTCGAATGATCTATTGATAAAGTTAGTGAATAGAAACAAGTTGGTATCAACGGAGCGGCCGGAGGTGAATCCATGTTGCTGATTTACTATGACTTGATGGAAGGCAACCGACAAAACTTTTTCTATACAGTGCTCAAATAGCTTGGGTATTGCTGAGAGGATACTAATTGGTCTATAATTAGACACATTGTTCCCGCTTCCTGACTTGTGGATGGGACAAACATATGACAATTTCCAGACTTTCGGGAACACTCCAGAGATAAGAGACTTGGAAAATACGTAATAGAGGAGAAGATACAGAGAATGGGAGCAAAGTTTTAACACTCTGTTTGGGATTCCATCAGGTCCCTCTCTTTTATTTATGTCGAGTTCAGAGAGCGATTTTTCAATGTCATATGCAGTGATCTGAATGTCAGAAATTGATTGAAAGGTGTGTGTTGAAGAAACGGAAGAAACACTTGCATCAGAAATGGTTTTAGGATTATAAACTGATGAGAAGAAATCAGCAAAGAGATTGGCTATGTTATAACCATTATCAGCCTTATTTGAGCCAGAAAACATTTCCCTAGGGATGGAGCCTTGATTTGACTGCGAACGAACAAAGTTCCAAAAGTACCCGGCATTCTCCTTGATTGAATCTTCAGTGTTTGCTATGTAAAGACTGTAGCATTCCTTGGACAGGGATAAGCATTGTCTGCGAAGCAGAGAAAATAAGTTATAATCCATAACTGAATTTGATTGTTTGAACCTTTTGTGAGCTACTTTTTTTTGAAAAATTAGGGATTTCAATTCACTTGAAAACCAGATAGGAAATCTGTCGTTGGAGCGACATTGCTTAATAGGCACAAACAAATCAAAACAATTGAATACAACGGAGTAAAAGTTACTTATGGTAATCTCTAAATTATCGTTTAAAATCGACAACCAATCATAGGACAAAAAATAATTGTTCATTAGCTCAAAATCAGCGGACTTAAAGTCGTAAAAAAAGTTATTAGCAGTTTTTAAATAATTTGTTTCCTCAAATTGAATTGACAGTAATAAAGCAGGATGACAGCGATCACAATTTACCAAACCAACACATTCATCGATTGAATTTAGGTCAAAGTTAGCAAAACAAAGATCTAATATAGAGTTATTTCCATTCGATATGCGATTAAATTGAGATAAGCCCAAGAATGCGGAAGTATCGCACAGCAAGATTTCTTTTGCAGATCTGACATTACCTGGCACAAGTTTGAGATAATCCTCTCCCGCAGACCAAGCTACTTGTGGCAAATTGTAATCGCCTACAACCAAAACATTTTTAAAACTATTACAAGCAGAAGATACCGATTTCAAGTGAAGTTCATAATACGAAATATCCATCGATGGTGGCACATATACACAGCCCACACAGTATACAGAATTTCCAATCGTTATGGATACCCAAACTTCTTCGATTGTAGAATCACCAAGTGACAGGAGGCTAGATTTCAAGAAATTTTCACGTCAGTTTGAAAAAAAATACAGGTTTCTGTAGGTACATAGGAAGTTGGCGTTCACAAAAAATAATTAGAACACAGATTTTAAACAAATTTTTTATTTTCTACTAGCAGTAGTAAAAAAAATTCTATATATTCCTCGGTAGAGAAAGTCATTATATACCTCAAGCATTATATATACATATTACATATAATAAGCTTTCGGTATATAATGACCAACTTCTCTACCTAGGTATATAATATACTATTTCCTATTGGAATTAAAAGCATAGGTAATATTATTTGTTGTAGCTATAATAATCTCTTATCAGAACAACTATCCCCTGAGAAAACAAAACTTCAGAAAAGATACCTCCTGGTGGAACAAAGAATCTTTCAGATCTCAGGACGAAAACATGCAAGCTGTACAACAGAGCGAAAAAAACGGACAGGTGGGACGACTGCCACTCCACCTTAACCACAAATAATAAATAATCAGATCCGGAAGGCAAAAATCGACTCATGGAGAAAATACTGCTAAGAGGTTGAAAAAACCAAGGTAGCAGCGATATTCCAAAAAATAATGTCCAAGGATCCCTTAAATCCAGTTAGGACCTTCAAAAAACCAAAGAGCACCTACACAGATTCTGAAAGAGACACTCTGCAGATTCCACTGCACACTCACCTCCCAGAATCAGTCGAAATCATAACAGGAGATGTCGGTATCAAGAGGCTGTCTACAGGGTAGGTATCTTTCCTACTGTGGGAACTGGTCGTAGATGAACTCCTAGTAGACCTTAATAACAGAACTATTTATACCCAGGGTTACTCAGATAATGTAGTAATCGTAGTCATGTGAAAATGCAACGAGCGCTTAAAATCAAGGAAAACTGAGCTAAAGGGGCAAACCTGAGTATCAACCCTGAAAAAACGGCTAGAATCCCCTTCACAAAAAAAAAACTGGACGATCTAGTTCCCCTCTCTTTTTTCGAAAAGCAAATACAATTCATTTGGGAAGTCAAATACCTAGGAATTATCTTGGATGCAAAACTAACCTGAAACGCGCATATTGAATACGCCACCAGCATGGGTAAAATGGCACTTATGGCCACCAAAAAGCAGTGGGAAAAACATGGTGATTTTTACCCCACATAGTATATTAGATCTATACAGTAGTGGTAAGACCCAGAATAACCTACGGATCAATAGTCTGGTGGTCAAAAGTCGAACAGAGCAAAGCAATAATGAAACTATCCAAACTTGCATAATGGGTACAGTGAGAAGCACTCCAACTGCTGCTATGAAAAACATACTATAAACCTCCCATAGGGTACTTGCATGAAAAACTAAATTGATTATTGTTTATTGCAAACTGTAGGAAATCGAAAAAAAATCGATCGTGTTTTTTCTTTTGTCCAAATAGGATTATTCCGAAAGTTATACAAATATCAGGTTTTTTATGTATAGATATACTGAGCATGTGCGACGTCATAAAATATTATACCTTATGACGTCATAAGCAGATTTCAAAGCAATTTTTGACTAACACGAAAAAGAAAAAACACGTGTTGACTTATTTTTCACTGTCTAATGAAATCAGCAATAAAAAAACTGATGCAAGGGGCCCATTGTAGCCAGAACTGGAATTCGAGAAAAGCATCCGAACATACCAGGATATCAAACATTGTTACAAACTCACTATTTGAGATGAGAAGTGACATCATGACCCCGAGAATGGATACTTACAAACCGTTTCAAACCCAGATTAACTGGTAAAACAAAACAGAAAATTCATTAGTCTAGATTGGAAAATTAGTATGATACACTGATGGTTCCAAGACCGACAGTGGAACTGGTGCCGGAGTATATGGCCTATCCCCAAGATCAAAATGATATTTTCCACTGGGGAAGCACACCACCGTTTTCCAAGCCGAAATACTTGCAATAGAGATATGCCTGCGGGAAAATCTGAGAACGGGATATGTGCATAGGGATATCACGATCTTCTCAGACAGCCAAGCAGCTATTAAAGCTCTAGCATGCCAACAGATAAACTGTAAATTAGTGTGGGACTACCTGCAACTTCTTTAAACCCTAGCCAGCCAACAAGGTAATTTTGCGTGGGTGCCGGGACACACGGGCGTTGCTAGCAATGAAAAACCAAGATTCCTCAGACAGACAAGGACCACAAAGGCAATTTATGGGCCTTGAACCTGTATTCGGAATATCAAAAACCTTGATATGTGGCTGCTTGGACAAGTGAATCCGAGAGGAACACAAATATCACTGGTATCAAATACCGAGGCAACACCACAACAGGGCAATGGTGAATTATCCTATGACAAGAGTAGCCTCTGAGATCCTAAAGCTAACGAGGAAGCAGATCAGAATTGTTACGGGACTCTTAACTGGTCACTGTACACTAAGGAAACACCTACACAACCTACACGAACCCATCTGTAGATTGTGGGACGAGGACGAAGAATAAGCTTCTCACATTTTGTTCGAGTCTCCTGCATTCGCTTACTGGAGAATCCGACACCTATTGGAGGAGGAATCTGTCCAGGAGAAGAGTCCCCTGCAGACGCCAATAAAGAGGCTACTGCACCTGGCGAAGGTGTCAAACCTATTTTAGCAGAAATTCGCACAGCAAGGAATACAATAAGCTAACTAGCTGCAGTTTCAGAGAATCACTAAACCTTGCTTTGCTGCTGTTGATCAAATTCATCAATCAATCAATCAATATTATTTACCTACTGTTTCCTATCGAAATATAATTTTATATCAAACATATCTTACCTCTGCACCAAACCACAACTGTCCGGCCAAATTATCCTGTAGAACATCTTCAGGAAACTTAACGCGAAATTCCCTATGAGCTCGTTCTTCACTTATAAGAGTGTCCATAATAGCATTGATGATTGTCAAGACCTTGTCCTGAGCTTGTCGCAACTGATTCACTAGAGTAGTGCATCGTTCAGGATCTTTCCTGCCGTCAAAACTATCCAACTCATATGCCACTAGATTCAGCTCCTCGTCAGCGTAAAAAAATTGAGCTAGCAAGGACTTGTCATCTCTCTGAAAGAAAGAAAAAAGTTTTTAAAACCAACTACTCAATTTGGATGGCTTTATTTATGAAGTTATTCTGCAAAAGTCATCAAATTGTTTAATGGGAGCTGGGGCAGGTATTACAAAATGGAGTGGAGTGGTTTCTGATAACCAGCTGGTCACAAGCAAAGTTCCACAAGGAACATACTAAACTAGTCAAAACGAAATAAGGACCACTTTTGAAAACCCATTTATTTTTAATGAATTTTGAATAACCCTGGTAAAGTGTTTATTTCCATTCACAATATAAATTTTTTGTGCACACTTTATTTGTTTATCTATACTTATTGTAAATGAAAATAGTCACTTTACCAGGGTTATTCGAAATTTAATGAAAACCTGCTATTAAAAGTGGTCCTTATTTCGTTTTGAGTAGTATACTTATCAGGTCTTATTTCAATCAGAAAAGACCCAACGATGTTTCAATTTAATTCAAAAATTGCTTCATTTCCATAGAAATACATAATATTTTTTGACAAAGCAGATTAAGCGCCGATACTTTCAATCTCGATTAACGAATTTGATATGTCGTTAAATTTAACAATGGACAATTTGAATGAACAATTTGAATGGACCAACATCTATATGTATGATTGGATTAGAGCACATTCAAACCCCTTATTATTTTTAACAGCTGTCAAACTTGAAAACTGAGAATAAAAGTACTGGCGCCTAATCTATTACATAATCAAACTTATACAACTACCATACCACTTAATATGTTATACACAGAGAAGCCATAAGTAGTCAATGTCTTGACAATAAATTAGCAGCAACCAAAATTTGAACAGAAGAGTACAAAAATTCTGCTGCAGTCACACAAAGTGCTAATGAAATACAAAAAATATGAAATTGATTAAGCATGAAAACTATTGTTAAAAAATTGTAATAAACATTGTCTTTTAACAAACGCCCTAAAGCTCCATGAAACATTTAAGTTGCACAACTTCTATAATATCTATAGGAAAATACTCTTTTGCTTTCATAAATCAGAGATCTCTTTGGGATTGGCAAGCCTAAATTAGTGGACTGTCGAGCAGGGTAAGTTCTTTCCTGAATAGTATTATTTTGAATATTAAAAATACCATTTCACAAATAAATATACAAGGCAATATCAATTCCGATTACAAAAATATAGTTTCTGTATATCTGGTTGAGCCTGTCACAGGCCGTTTTTGTCTTACCATTTATAGGATTAATTTGTAATTATTTTTGGTACAAACAGAATTTGTTCTATTAGCTGTGGATAAATTCTTTGAATTATTATTTATAGTTACTAACTTTAGCAATTTTCAGTGACTGAGAGGATATTTAATGTGGAGCACACTCTATTTCAACCAATCAAGCTAATTTTTATTTGAATTTTATCTAGTAATCCACCGGATGAATTACGTTTGTTAAGTATTGGTACCTTCGATTTATTTACTTTTGCCTTGTCACAGCCAACTTACGGGTAAAAGAACTTTTAGATATCAGCCTCTGAATATTATATCCTGCCTGCAACCTGTGGAATGTGGATGTTTCAAGAAATCCCCTATTTATTCATCGATTGTGTTTATTAGAAAAATTTCAGTCAATTTGTAGGTTAGAAATTATCGATTTCCCCTATTCCTTCAAATGTCATGAAAGCGTTTTATAATCGCGTGACCCAGTGCAACTTGCTTGGGGCACCCACCGAATTCAGAAAATGTACTCTTCATCGCAACGTGTGACGTGTGTGGTGCGCAGGTTACTTCGGATGGTTATTTTATATTATGGTACTGATTATGCAAGGATGATACAAACTACTACTAAAGGATGGCCTATCCCCATAAGGCCTGTGTGTAACAAATTACCAGTTGTGACGTAGGCAGCATATTATTTCTCGCCTTGACATAGACTGTTTAAACTGCTGACGACTTAGTTATGACGTCGGAAATGGTGACACAGCGGGAGGCGGACACACTTCGGTGTGTAAATGTAGCTCTAGGTTTTCGAACGGTTATCGAAAGGTTTGTATAGTTTGTGGTTTGTTTTCTTTATAAAATTGACAGAAGTAGAGATGATGGCTCATGTGAATAAAACAGAAGCAAATGCTTTCGCTTGAATTTTTTGAGATAAACATATTCAGCTTCAATGCAGCAAAAAGAGATTAAGGTAGAGTAGAAGCATTTGCTACACTTTATTCATACGACTGATTAGGACTGTTTTCACACAAATCACAATCCAGTCAGGGGGTTGATTGAAGCAAATCACCAACAAAGAGTTTTCTGACTATTTTCAACCAATGGAAATCGTTCTGACTGGTTTGTAATTTCTGTGAGAAACATTGAGATAGGTGAGAACCGGATCCTTAGGTGAAAACAGACTAGTCTGTTATACATCCTCAAAATGTCAGTGTCATATATGTCAGCTTAAATTTCACTCGGTGCGCGCACCAGTACGTGACAACCAAGGAGAATACACACTCTAAGGAGTGCTTGTCAGCCTCATTTTTGGTAATCGCCGCCATATTGGTGTGCCACCATTCCCGACGTCATAACTAAGTCATCAGCTGTTTAAACAGCCTACGTCAAGGCGAGAAATAACATGCTGCTACGTCACAACTGGTATTTTGGCCTGGGGGGATTTTTTACACACAGGCCTTATGAGGATAGGCCATCCTGTAGTAGTAGTAGTAGTGCGTATCATCCTTGCGTGAAAACCACCCATCCGAATGCCGAAAACCGTGTGATTTTTATCCACACTCCGCCTTTCCGAACGGCAGGTGTGTGATTTTTATACGACACACCAGGTTCTCGAACGCGACCCTGGTACCTTGGGTGCCTCGACAAGACAACGGACAACACTTGACTTTCGTCAGTCGGCTCCACATATGGAATGTCAATTTTTGGTCTCTTTCCCTTTCCACATGTGATTCACGTCGAAATTGTTGCATCGCAGTATTTTTTTTTTTAAGTCAATTTTGGGAGTTTGGGCTCGAGAAATTGCAGCAGAGATTAAAAAATTAAAACTAAAAGTGTTAGTTTTTTTCTTGAATTACTTTCACCCTCGCTTTCACCTTTCGTCAGTATTGAAGTAGACGATTTGAGAGATTTTAAAGGCGAAATTACTTGGGTAAGTGACCTTGCTGACTGTTCTTCCACGTTTCGCCTCCATTTTTTTAAGATTATTTTATATTATATATTTTCTTAGATTATTTTTGCTGTTTTTTCTCTGTAGCGAGTCAATCCACACGCACGGCATTTTTATCTGCTGCCACCTCGGTAGCCAGAGCACCAGGCACTGGTTTTAGAGAAAAAGACCTTGTACTGACGTAATTTTCCATTAATTAATTATTCATTATAAATTCATATCACGTTTGATATTATACTTTCCACAACCAACAGAGTAATAAAAGGAAAGCCTAAGGTAGACAATGACTTTCTCTACCGAGGAATATATAGAATTTTTTTTACTACTGCTAGTAGAACATAAAAAATAGGTTTGAAATCTGTGCTCAAATTATTTTCTCTTGTCGAAAATGCTGCCCTCTATCAACAGCTTATGGTAATTTCCTATGATTCACATACAGGAACCTGTTATTTTTTTAAATTGAGAATTTGAAATTGCAATTAAACCAATAGAAACCTGAGTCGATTAAAGGCGAATAACCAGTCGGTTATATTGACAGATGAACAATGCATTTACTGTCATTTATTACCGATTGGTTGACAAATGACGTTTGCTTCATTGGTTATCTGTCAACTATGACCGATCGGTTAATCGCCTTTAATCGATGCTGGTACGTCCTGACAATATCCTTGCGTCATGACGTCATTTTCATTATTGACCTAGGGTTTTTTTCATTATTTTCATTATTAACCTGGGAAGAGAAATTCAATTTTTTTCTAGAAAAATAGATTGAATAATAACTACTTCTCAGGTTAGTAGTAAAAAAAAATCTTTATGTATGCGGTAATTTGTTCGATCTTTTCCTACTAGAGGCAGCAGTGTCAATCAGGGCTATTATGTTCTTGTAATTAATTGTGCGTTTTTTTCTCGCTGGATGGCAGCGTCAACGATCGAGTTCGGGAATTACTCCAAAAGCATAATTTATTCATAGTTTGCAATAATTTCGTCTTCAATGTTAAGGCCGTTTTACAGCTTGCAAGAAAACTTGAATGCAATTTTTTGCATACAAAAAAATTGCATTCAAGATTTCTTGCATGTCGTTTTACACCTTTTGCAATTTTACTTGTTTCCTTCTCTAACCTTAACCATATTTTTTTGTTTTTAATGTTGTGTTGTTGATGTTTGCATTTTCCAAAAATGAGAAAAAGTGATTATAAGTTGATATAAAAAGAAGAAAGTAATAGCAGCCACTTTAAGCATCATAATTGCTAAAAATTTCCCAGCTTGCGCGAAAACTTTCAAGAATCTTGCAGAAAACAATCAGCTGACTCACTTCTGCGCATGCCCTCGTTCAAGTTTCTTGCATATTGCAGATAGAGTTGCAAGCTGTAATACGGCCTTTTTATGAACTAAATTATTGTATAAATAAAGTACGAGCATAAATAAATACGACTTACCGGGTTGAGGTGTGTGCTTGCTTCTTACACGAGCTTTCATGTTCGGAGCAGTAAAATGTGTTCCACCCCCTACTGGCATTTGAGCAAGGGCCTAAATTTGCCTCTACTTTACAACCTTTTGTTCCATAAAAGACTACAGGAGGGGTTTCAAATTATAACTAGACACCCAGTACACAGTCTTATCAGTGTTTATATTTAGTTTGTTATAACATAGCCAATCATAGTACAGTTTAAGATACTTTGTTACAGTTAAATGAATATTGTTCCTAATCAATTCTTGTTAGAGTATTTTCTATATTATATCAAATACTTTTAGTCATTAACTCAGTTATTAGTATTACAACATTTATTTTCATTCACTAGGTATATACAGGGTGTTAATTGGAAAACTTTCAATGCGAATATCTCTGTTAGAAAAAC